TTCACTGATTCCACGAACGATGAGTAAGGACTAGAAGTGCTGCATATAAATATCCGCCTGATGGATGACCGGTGCCATTCAGGATCATCATGATTGGTTTTAGGTTCTGGTAGATACATGAGACTGGACACGGGACTGTGAATGTGCCAGTGTACATCCCCAGGGCATCCTCATCTCCACCATGGCTATTGGAAAAGGCATGCCGCTCGATAGTGCTGCATTAATGTCAACAGTTATCGAAGGCATTTTATACGGTCAGTTATGTAATGAATATGTTCGTCCATCCCATACTCACGTTCTTCAGGCTTATCTGTCCTCATGTTTATTGGCACCATCTGGGCGCTGATCCATGAACGCCACATGCGGAGCGTCAATCGTCCGATCACAGCTGTGGCCGTCTTGCTGTTTGTACTAAGCACTGCGGTTAGCTTCTCGCCTTACTATCTGATGTCATACGCTGAAGTTCTCCAAGCACATGGTCGTAGACATTATTCGAACTGAAGAAGGACTAGTGCAGCACCGCAACATATCCCAAAGCGGGCCCGGGTCGGAGGCGTTCTTCACAGAAATCTCCCGAGAAACTATTGTGATCCACAATGCAATATACGTTTTGCAAACTCTACTCGGTGACGGGGTGGTGGTGGGTTCAATCATATATTTCCCATTCTGAAATTGATATATAAGGGCTTTTTTGGAAAAAGATTTATCGTTGTTATGTTGTTTGGAGAAGCATCCGGGTCATCGTCTTACCCAGCATGATGTGGTGTAGTGTCGCAGGTAAGGTTTCAAATACACATAGCAAGTCGCGTGCCCTGATGTTTTGAAGTGACCGGTGTGTGCTCGATCTACAAATTTTGGCATGCATCTATCATCTCCGGAAATGTCTTCGGCCTGCTGGTGATTCGCGATTGGATCTCGGCGTTCTATGCCTTGACACTTGCGACTAATTTGTTGAGCTCAGGTGAGCGCGCTTCTGCTCGTGCGTAGTATCATATCCTCATACCAATCCGAATCTGTTCAGGATTACTGGTGTACCGCATCTGGAAAATAGAACATAATGTTGCTAGCAGTCGCACTACGAAGATCACCACGACGAGTATACTACGCGTGGTTATGGATGCTGCTATTTTATACTCTATAGCGCTCCTCTGCACATTAATCGGTGTGGTCTGCTCGAACAATGGATCGCTCGTTATGATAGACATGGTGATTCCACCAATAACATATATCATCGAAGAGTACTGACCTTTGTTCAACCAGCTTACGTCGATCATCTCTATCACATTCTATATGGTGATCATTCGCATTGCGATGGGTAAAAGTACTCACAGTCACATTTTGAGTGTCCGTCACGGGTCGGGCAGTGACACAGATGGAGGAAACTTACAGCATTATGCCCTGCCTTTGCAGGTGCATATATCCCAATTCACCCATGGTGATGGCGCGTCGGTGTACAGAAATGGGAATCTGGACCGACCATCGACAGGCAAGTCAAGATTTGTGGAAGGGGCATCTTGCAACGTGTAGTCAGATGAACGTGTTAGCTTCATACGGAAGTTGATTGTATTTTTAACAATGCCGGACGATAACTTGGAGCACGATAACTTGAATGACTTGTATGTATACTGCATTAGCAATCAATTATTTACTTCGTAGGATGTGGAGAACAGAACTGGACTACAATTTCAACTTACTGTGGGCAATTAAGATCTAACCTGCTGAGGATGGCTGTCGTGACTCGGTGCTTGGTGAAGGAGTAGTAGAAGGCACACAACCTCTATCACGTATACAGTCGTTGTGCCATCATAGGAGAGTTCAAACGAGGATGTGGCACAAGAGATGCAAATAATCCATTGCTATCTGATTTGTACAAACAGTAGGCAGAATACGGAATGCACGAAACTATTTGGCTAAAACCTGCAGCCATCCTTTTGACCCGAAACACTAGCACAGTTTCGAATGCAGAAAAGTCCGGAATCCGTGAAGCTTTGAAGGCTGGTGGGCCATGGTAGCTTCACAGCGCAGAATTTACAAGACATTACGCTGTCAAAAGTGATGTAAGTTCCCAGTAGAGTGTAATGAAAGAGGTCGGTGGTCACCGAGTAAAAGGAGTCGTCAAAATGAGACGCATGCTGCGAAAAGGACAGTTAGCAGGTGCACAACGAAAATGGGAGTTCGAGTTGACCAGTAAAAAATGCGAATGGGGCCTGTAATGATGTGACAATAACGAACTGAGGTGTGAAAAGCTGTGTCGATGCATTATACATTCGTTCTTATCATGATGCAAGCAACATACTGAGGTTATAAGTGTCGTCGAGCTCCGCAACTTCAGATTGATGCAATGACTCACCAGATCTCTCCTTCAAGATATGCATCGTGCATCAGGATCTTGCCAATGCCAGTGAATCAGGATCGATATCGTGTTTCAGGCTGACACATTCAGGGCTGTGGTTGATGGAGGAGACGGAGAAGATGATGAGAGATAATTCAGTGTCCATAAACATACACGCACGCACCACAAGATAATATTTGTGTCGAGACTTACAAGCGACTAACTGAAACACTGAACTCATCCGAATAGACAAAAGCGGCCAAGCAGAATCACAAAGAACATGATTCGATGTCAGGAACATTGCGAGGACGTGTAAAAGGACTCAGAAGGCTGGCATCCTTGCCAGTACATATGGTAACCTTGGAGGTAACTAGCAGGGGACGTCGACGATGCATATCAAAATCTAAATGTAAGTGTCTTGGTCATGATTATGTAACTTAATATTCAAAGTTCTTCGAAGTTGAAATTTAAAAAGCTATGTACCTTCTAGATCTTCGAATCAGCATCACATATCAATTTGATATCATTCAGCACGTAGATTTGATGGTGCACCCGACTAGGTGTTTGCCAGATATGAATATCAAACACTATCATTCATACCTTCAAATCGAGTCCAACGCCAGTGGTCATCTCAGGCTCGATGAACAGTCGCCAATACTACTAGCTACATCGAAATATCAACCACGAAGCTTGTGAATTCCTGTAAGCAATCATTCCGTTTCCAAGCACGTATGGGAAGCAACGTTCGAATTAAAGTTGCATAGCAAACACGTTCAGATAACAGCTTCAGCCGTTCCGCAACTGATAAGTAAGGTCCGAAGCGCTCAATATAAATATCTGTCAGATACCTGCTGATTCAATGAACACGGGACTGCAAATTTGCTAGCATACATCCCCAAGGCATCATCTCCGCTATGGCTATTGGAAAAGGCATCCCGCTCGATAGCGTTGCATTAATGTCAACAGTCCTGGAAGGCATTTTATATGGTCAGTATACGAATGTGTTCCTCCATCCCATACTCACCAAGATAGCATTCTTCAGGCTTTTCCGTCCTCATGTTTATTGGCACCATCTGGGCGCTGACCCACAAACGTCACATGCGGGACGTCAATCGTCCAATCACAGCTGTGGCCGTCTTGCTGTTTGTACTGAGTACTGCGGTCAGCTTCTTGCCTGGTCATCTGATGTCACATGCTGAAGTCCTCCAAGCACATGGTTGTAAGTATTATTCGAACTGAAGAAGGACTGGTGCAGTACCGCGACAGGCCAAAGATGTTATTCGCAGAGATCTCCCGAGGAGCCTTTATGACCAATGGTGCGATATTTGTTTTGCAAACCCTACTGGGTGATGGGGTGGTGGTAGGTTCAATCATATATTTTCCATTTTGAAATTGATATAGAAAGGCTTTTTGAATAAAGATTTATCGTTGTTACATCGTTTGGCAAACCGTCTGGGTTATCATCTTACCCATCATGCTGTGGTGCGGCATTGCAGGTCAGGTTTCACATACACATAGGAAGTTGCATACTCTGATGTCGTTTCGAAGTGACTGGTGTATACTCGATATACAGCTTTTCGCACACAACTGGCATCTACGGACACGTTTTCAGCCAAACGACTCGCGAATGGATCTCAGCATTTTATGGCTCGACGCTTGCAACTAATTTGTTGAGTTCAGGTAAGTGCGCTTTTGCTTGTGCGTCGTGTCATATCCTCACACCAACCCGAATTTGTTCAGGATTACTGGCGTACCGCATCTGGAAAATCGAACGCAATGTCGCTAACAGTTGCGCTACAAAGATCACCACAACTGGTATACTACGTGTGGTCATGGATGCTGCCGTTTTATACTCCATAGCGCTCCTCTGCACATTAATCGGTGTGGCCTGCTCGAACAATGGAACACTTGTGATGTTAGACATGGTGATTCCACCAATAATGTATACATACCATTGAAAATCACTGACCTTTGATCAAACAGCTCACGCCCATCATTTCTATAACTTTCTACATGGTTATCATTCGAATCGCAACGGGTAAAAACACTCACAGTCACATTTTGACGGCTCGTCACGGGTCGACCACAGGCAGTGAAAACGATAGAGGAAACTTGCGGCATTATCCTCTGAAGCCTTTGCAGGTGCATATATCGCAATTCACTCACAATGACAGCGCGGCGGTGTATAAGAATGGGAATCTGGACCGACCGTCGACGGCCAAGTCGGGATTTGTGGAAGGGGCATCTTGCGATGTGTAGTCAGATGAACATAATGACTTCATATGAAAATTAGTTGTATTTTTGATAGCATCAGGCAATAACTCGTAGTACGATTTCTCGAATCACATTGTATTTATACCGTGTTGGAAATCACAGAACAAGACTACAGACTCGACTTCTGTGGGGAATTGAAATCAGATTAGATGTGGCAGAGAATGCGATATGATACATTGGCTGGTATAGTGGGTATACTCGGGGTCAATGCTTTCTGGTATCTACTGAGGATGGCTGTCGTGATTCAGCATTCGAGGAAGAAGGGGTAGAAGGAACGTAGCCTTCATCAGGTACCCTGAGTCGTCGTCTTTGATGGTAGCACCCGATGCAGCATTCGGCTGTAACTGGATGCACAAGACCTGCCAGTGAGATAGACATCGAATGAAGTGAGGAGCTAAAAAGACTCAAAGGCCCACAGCGTGATTATGATGACGTTGTAGATAGAACTGCTGGCGAGAAGTATGCGGTCAGAAGAGAGTGCCAGACCACCGACGACATGAGTGCCCGAGGTCCTTTGAAGGGCGCCCCAATGGTTGGCGCGTGACCCCTCAAGGTCATGACCAAGACCTATGTCAGGATCGATGTGTTTTCTGCTGCACCGTGCTGGGTCAAGCTGTAGGCCATGTCAGTCGTATTTGCAAGACAATGACAATTTGAAGTTGGTAAGTATGCCGGTTGAATATGTGGATATGGATATGGATATGTTCGAGTGCCAGTTGAATTGAACTTGTTCGACGAGAGACGATGTGCTCTGTCTACAAGAATATACCAATGGTATCAGTTCGTCAGTGCAGAACGCAGATGTGGTATTCGTGTGATGACTCACCCTGAGAATGCTAGTCAAGACGAAGAGCAATACCATCAATGTGTATGATGGGCGAGTCTTGCCTTATCTTTTGACGCTCGTCCTCGAGGCTATACATTGCATGTACAGCATGTCCCATCCCTTTCTGGCTTGTGATGAAATTCCTGTATTGCGCCAGCCTCGACGAAAAAATATCGATAGGTTAGCGCTGGTGCACGGTGTTTCAAACTTTGCGCAAGACTTTCCACCTGCGAAGTTCAAGTGTATACAAGCAAACGTCCGAATCCTTTTGCCCTTTAAGGAGTGATCACTAAGCTACCAGCAAACAGAAATACACTGTGATATGCCTTACATCCTATAAAAAGTACACTATGCATACAAGCAGATTCCAATTAGCGAGGGGTCCGCGATGAATTCATCACAGTACCATTCGAAAAGTTAATCTAAAAGCAAAAACACAGCTGGCTGCTTCCATGTTCTCCTGCATTGGTTCTGACCTGCCCTGCTGTGGTCGGCTGTTGCAGATCTGGATTGGGCGAAGGAGGAGAAGAAACATGGTCTTCATCGGGTATCCATTCATCATTTTTGCGGCGTGGAGCACCTGCGGCAGCGTTCCGCTGTGAATTGATATATGAGCACTGAAAAGCGAGAAAAATGGGCCGCGCATACCTCTTTACCCTGCGCGAGAGGAACATCAGCAATAGCTGTGGATGCATGATTTATTTGAAGTGACCACCAGGTTGACAGGCGGGATTTGAAAGTTGTGGGAGTGGGGGCAGAGGATTGGGTGGTCGGTGGCTGAAACTAAAAAAAAATGTCAGTCTAATGTGTGATGATGGCGGTCCCCACTCACATCATCATGCGGATTGACAATTGGACGAGGTAAGGGTGCTGTAGCAGGGAACTGCGAGGGACCGTCGAGTCAACTGTGAAGAAGGTAGATGAAAGAGACATACGTCCAGGGGATTACGGGGCTCATTGATATTTGTGCGGGTGGGACGAGTGGTGTCCGTATGAGAAGAAAAGAGCTTGCGTAAAAAGCCAAGGAAAGCGGGTTGCGGGGGCTCAATTATAACTGCTGGCGGGCGGGGGACGGAAGGTATGACTGATATTGCTGGTTTACGGCGCACGGGATGACGTATTGCGTCAGACTGCGATAGAGAATGAAGTGATTAGATGAGTAAAAGAGCAGGATCACATACGTCAAGCAGTTTAGCGAGGTGAGCGCTTGTCTGCAAGAGATTTCAGCACGCAAATCATGAAATTAATGGGTGAATACATACCTCTTTTGCAAGACTAATACTAGCAAGAATATCGGTTGGAATATCGCATATGTAGATTCTGGCCTTATCCCGGTTTGTGTAAGCCAGTTGGCGTGAGTCGGGTGAGAGTATAAGGGAAATTAGGGAATAGGGACGTTGGACATCAAATGAGGCGAGAAGTTGGCGAGACCCAAAGGACCAGAGCTTGATGGCGTTGTCATACGAAGCACTGACGAGAAGAAGACAATCAAATGAGAGTGCTAGGTTCCGGATGACGTCGGTGTGCCCTTGGAAGGAATCTCCGACAGTCTTGAGCGTCGATGCGTCATACTCGTAGATCGACATGTCGTCATCTAAGCTGAAGAAGGTTGTGATAAATTTGTCTTTTGTCGTCCAAAGTACAGGTAAACATAACCGGGTGAAGTCAGGGGTATTTTTTTCTCTAGTAACAACCAATTTCTGTGCCTGGACGTCCCACACCTCAAGGTATGATTGCTTTGAGTCGGAATTCCAACGCCAAGATGTCACCGCCAGCTTCTGAGAGTCTTCCGAGAGTCCGAGTGTGTCCACGTATTCACCTTCAAGTACGAATGGACCAGCCATGAGTTTGCCTGTGTCCAACCTCCATATCCGTATTCCGATCCCTATTCCGAATTCTGTCGCACCCGCTAGCAACGTGCTGTCCGCCGAGATATCAATGCAGCAGGTCTGACTCTCATCATGAAATGTTCTCACGATCCCCGTCTCGACCTCACACACTTTGAGCTCATCACCAACTGCAGTGACAACCCATCGACCATCCCTTGACACTCCCACCCCATGTACAGGATCTTGTAAACTTCCCGAGCTTCCTTGATCTCCTTACCCTCCCGCAGGTCCCATCGCTGAATGATATTATCGCTTGATCCGCTGATCATTTGCTTGCCGTCGGGAAAATAAGAAATGTGTGAAACGTATTTGGGCTTGTAATCGAGCGAGAACGAAAATGGTTTATGTCCCTCCAAGGTCATCACCGGTGTCAGAATCGATTTCTTTGCTGCTATACCGGGCTGTTTCGAGCTGGAAGCCATGGCGGTTGTATCCTATGGATAGTGTTCGGTGAGTTGTCCTCGTATGCGCTACGTTGCGAAGTCTCGAAAGCCGTTGTGCTTTCCCTGTCTATACTAATCATCAGTTCATCAGCGCAGGATGCTCATGTAGGGAATTCACGTTACACGGATGCTATCAAGGACGAGGAACGATACCGGCATGCATGCTATCTTTGATATATCCCCTTCATGGCTGTGCGTTGTACAGCATGTTCTTTTTGCGACCATCGCCTTACCTATCTCTCAGATCTCCACAGCAATACGTAAGAATACAGCATTGCAAGCGCAGTAGAAATATGATCATTCTGTCACCCTCAAACGGGGACAGGTTCGGATATACCGGCAGCCGAAGGTCCAATTCGGTCATTACAGTGGCTGGGCCAGTCGACGCAATAAGGGTGGGCCATGGGTTCATTGTACCCACCCCAGATTATTCCATTCTCCAATTGTAATACACCTTACATCCTGTAAAAATACATTCACGAACTAATTTTGACGCATCAAACATGTATGTAGTGCACCATACTCGAGCTAATGGGAAGGAACCAATCATTTACGATCACCTGCATAAACTTTGAAACCTGCATCAAAGGTAAAACGTCAGACCAAGAACTCACAATGACACAATAACCACTTACCATCGCCACCGAACTGAAAATCATCAATCGTCTCATCCTCCGCTTCCTCCATCTCCGAATCATCCGTGTCTTTGTCTACTACGGGAGCCCCTCCATCAATCTTGACCTCTTTCTCTTCATACGTTTCGACCAGCGGGGGCGGACCAGCTTCGTCGACGATAATGGGAGAGGCAGATCAGGAACTACATCTTCCTCTATCTCATCATCATCACTAGACTCAATAGGGTCAAGCCCAGGAAGGTGATCACTCTGCCCCTCCAAGCCAACAGCCAACACGGTTTGAACAGGTGCACGAACCTGATTGGGCGTATGCTGAGGTTGAGGTTGAGGCGATGGCACGATCTGAATAGGCATCGGAAGATGCCCATGATCTGTATGTTTGCTACTGCACCGCGCTGGGTCGAACTGGAAGCCAGAACGCTCAGATCTTAGATGTGGTGTTCGTGTGGCAACTTACACCTTCAGAATGCTAGAAAAGCCGAAGAGCAAAGTGTTATGGGCGTGTCTTACCTCCATTTCCTTTGACGCCCTTAAGACTGTGTTGCATGGCCATCCCTTTCAGGCTCGTCGATGAAATTCACGGAGAGCCTTGCAAGTTGGTTAGCGCTGAGGTTTCGGACTATGCACCTACCTTCGAAGTCCCACTGTTATTCGATTCGCTGCCCTGATCACCATTCGCAAAATAAATCATTAGCAAACAGAAACACACTGTAATATGCCTTACATCCTATAAAAATACACTATGCATACAAGCAGGTTCTAATTAGCGAGGTATCCGCAATGAACTCGTCACAGCACCGTTCGAAAAGTCAATCTAAAAGCAGAAACACAGCCGGCTGCTTTCATGTTCTCCTGCATTGGTTCTGACCTGCCCTGCTGTGGTCGGCTGTTGCGAATCTGGATTGGGCGAAGGAGGAGGAGAAACATGGTCTTCATCGGGTATCCATTCATCATCTTTGCGGCGTGTAGCACCTGCGGCAATGTTCCGCTGTAAATTAATATATGAGCACTGAAAAGCGAGAAAAATGGGCCGCGTATACCTCTTTACCCTGCGCGAGAGGAACGTCAACAATAGCAGACGATGCATGATCTGTTTGAAGTGACCACCAGGTTGACAGGCGAGATTTGAAGGTTGTGGGAGTGGGAGCAAAGGATTGGGTGGTCGGTGGCCGAAACCAAAAAAAATGTCAGTCGAATATATGATGATGGCGGTCCCTACTCACATTATCATGGGGATTTACAATTGGACGAGGCAAGGGCGCTGTAGCAGGGAACTGCAAGGGAACCGTTGAGTCCACTGTGAAGAAAATAAATGAAAGAAACATACGTCCAGGGGATTGCGGGGTTCATTGGCGTGAACAGGACGAGCCATATCCGTACGAGAAGGGAGGAGTTTGCGTAAAAATACAATGATAACGGGTCGCCGGGGTTCAATTGTAACTGCTAGCAGGCGGGGGACGGAAGGTATGACTGATATTGCTGGTTTACGGCGCACAGGATGACGTGTCGCGTCAGACTGCGATAGAGAATGGAAGGATTGGATGAGTGATTGGATGAGTAAAGACAAACACATACGTCAAGCAGTTTAGTGAGGTGAGCGCTTGTCTGCAAGAGATTTCAGCACGCGAATCATGAATGGGTGAATACATACCTCTTTTGCAAGACCAATACAAGCAAGAATATTGGCTGGAATATCGCATATGTAGATGCTGGCCTCATACAAGGTCGTGTAAGCCAGTTGGTGTGAGTCAGGTGAGAGTATAAGGGTAAGGGGAGCTTGGACATCGAATGAGGCGAGGAGTTGGCGGGACTCGAAGGACCAGAGCTTGATGGTGTTGTCGGAGGAAGCACTGGCGAGAAGAAGACAATCAAATGAGAGTGCAAGGCTCAGGATCTGGCCAGTGTGTCCTTGGAAGGAATCTCCGACAGTCTTGAGCGTCGATGCGTCAAACTCATGAATGATTGTCATGCCGTCATCCAAGCTGAATAAGCATGTGATGAATTTGCCTTTTGTTGTCCAAAATACCGAACGTAACAAGCTTCCAGTGGTATATCTTTCTCTAATGACAATCAATTTCTGTGATTGGACGTCTTACACCTGAAGGTATTGCTTCAATTTGCCATTGGACTCCCAATTCGATGATATCACCGCCAGCTTCCGAGAGTCTTGCGAGAGTCCGAGTGCGCCCGCGAATTTATCACTAAATCCGAATGGACCTGCCACGAGTTCGCCTGTGTCCAAGCTCCATATCCGTATCCCATCGTTTGACGCACCCGCTAGAAACGTGTTGTCCGCCGAGATATCAATGCAGCTGGTCCTAGGGCCATCATGAAATGCTCTCACAATCCCCGTCTTGACCTCACACACTCTGAGCTCTTCACCAATTGCAGTGACAACCCATCGACCATTTCTTGACATCCCCACTCCGTGTACAGGATCTTTGTAAACTTCCAGAGCTTCCTTGATCTCCTTACCCTCCCGCAGGTTCCATCGCCGAATGGTCTTATCGCCTGATCCGCTGATGATTTGCTTGCCGTCGGGAAAATAGGAAATGTATGAAATGGCTTTGGTCTCGTAATCGGGCGAGGGCGGAAATGGTGTATGTCCCTCCAAGGTCATCACCGGTGTCAGAACCGATTTCTTTGCTGCTATAACGGGTTGTTTCGAGCTGGAAGCCATGATAGTCGTATCCTATGAATAGTGTTCGGTGAGTTGTCCTCCTATGCGTTACGTTGCTAAGTCTCGAGAACCGTTGTGTTTTCCCTGTTTATACTAATCGTCAGTTCATCAGCGTAAGATGATCGTGTAGGGTATTCACGTTACACGGATGCTATCAAGGACGAGGAACGATACCGGCATGCTATCTTTCCTTCATGGCTGTGCGCTGCACAGCATGTTCCATTTTTATCGTCATACAGCATTGCGAGCGGGGTAGAAATTTGATCAATCGATCATATGCATTTTGTCACCCTCAAACGGGGACAGATATTTGCTTCGAATCTTCAGTTGAATTCGTGCATTCCTCTTTATGTCTGGGCCAATCGCAACAAGGGTGGACCATGGGTTCAGATTATTCCATTCTCCAATTGCAAGTACCGTAGTACACCTTACATTCTGCAAAAAAAACTACAAATTTTGACACGTCAAACATGTATGTAGTGCACCATGCTAGAGCTGATAGGAAGAAACCAATCATTCACAATCACCTGCATAAAACCTGCATCAAAGGTAAAACGTCAGACCAAGAACTCACAATGACACGACAACCACTCACCGTCACCACCGAACTGAAAATCATCAATCGTCTCATCCTCCGCTTCCTCCATCTCAGAATCGTCCGTGTCTTCGTCCACTACGAGATTACCTCCATCAATCTCTTCCTCTTCCTCTTCGTACGTTTCGACCAGCGGGGGCGGACCAGCTTCGTCGACGATAATGGGAGAAGGCGGATCAGGAACTACATCCTCCCCTATCTCATCATCACTAGACTCAATAGGGTCAAGCCCAGGAAGGTGATCACTCTGCCCCTCCAATCCAACAGCCGACACTATTTGAACAGGTGCATGAACCTGATTCGTATGCTGAGGTTGAGGTTGGGGCGGCGGCATAATCTGAATTGGCACCGGAAGATGCCCATGATGCAGAGGCGGGATCACCATCATGCGCCGTGCCGGCTGAGAGGGTCTGCTTGGCTCTAAGGACGGGTACCAGTTGAAGAAGAGGCCGGTATCTGTCATTTGCAGACATGATATAGAGGATAGGTATCGGCTGTCGTCGTATTTTGCTATGCGGCAGACGGATAGGCCAGGGCGGCGAGGTGCCTCCGCAGTTAACTTGCTGATTTCAGGGTCTAGAGATACGACAAACAAACCCTTGCGCTGCGATAGGTTTAGCGCTGGGAAGCCCATATGTGAAAGAGAGACTTACAGTTGCTATTGCGGCCTTTTCATTTGATTCTCCGAGGGCTAGATAGACGGAGGTATCTCGGACGTCACTTCTGGAGGCGCTGAAATTGAGGAACGTTGCTATATCGCTAAGAGTGACCTCGCGATGGAAGAGTCGTTCAAAGCCCGGAATCCAAATGAAGATCCCTGATGCGGTGAGGACTGCGATGTCCTTGCCCGAGGTGGATACATGGGCTGCGCACATAATGAGTATATGGTATAGATCGACGTATAGACCTTACCCGCAACAAATGTGCTCGGAGATGTGGAAGAGACGTGATATGCCTCGTGAAGTCGTTGGGGCTGGAAGAGCGATGAAGGGCACAAGACATCGCTATTATCTGGAAGCACATCCCAGGTGATGCGCTGCAAATCTTTCATGCACAGGTGATAGACCAAGGCACCACCGCCCCTTGCAAAGATGCGTAGTTGATTGGACCCGCAGAAGAAAGCGTATTGGTCATTGACTTCAACGTAGCATAGGGTCCCTAAGGTCCCATCTTGATTGGGCGCCTGGATGTTGCTGATCGTTTCAACTGGACGGGAAGTCGGCACATCCCACAAATAAGCGTAATTTGCGCCGGCCGAAAGCAGCGTTGGGTACGAAAAGCGGAATGCACGGGTCGGCTCTGGCATGTGGAGGAGAGCCCACGGTCTGAAATGGCCATGATTTGTTGGGGAGGCATGACGCTGAGCAGCTTCGTTGGATGCATTGATCATGGACTCGTCAGGCTTGAAGACCTCTGGGATTTCAGAGTCTTGGAAGTCACGGGCGTAGCGCCATACTTCCTTGCTATCATCGTGACGGTTGAGGATGATGTAGCCATGGTCATATTCGCAGTGAGCGTAATCGGTTACATGAGTCTATTTTGTCGGAATGGTTCAGGATAGGGTGGACGGGCATGTCAGACGACTTACTGTTGTCCAAAGTACGCGATCAGTATCGTAATCAGTCACGGAGAGGCCTCCATGGTGGCGGGTAGTCATCACGAATTTCTCCTTCTGGTCAACCTTTATTCTATGCACGAATTTGCCGGTGGAATTCAGCTCCCTCGCGACGGACGGAGCCTTGCCTCGCCAACCCCTCTCGATCTGCAATCGTCTTTGACCTAGCAGAGATGGTCAAAAGGTATCAGCTGTACTTGGAGAAGCACAGACAGAGTTGCAACCAGTCTATTTTCTTTGTATCTGGTTTTTGACCAGAGGAATCAGCCTGAAGATCGGTATGGGGGACGAAGCGATGTAGGATGGCTGCTTTGCGGTAAACTGCCTGGACGTTTCCTGTGATCAGACCGTGCCATGCTCTGGACACGAGCGAGATATTGCGGAGAGATTGTAATGGGAGATAGGATGCTATGTAGAGAGCAATCTCTGTAGGCAGTTCGTGCAGCATCGTTGATCAAGTCAAGACCAAGTCTCCAATAATCGCGGAGTTGTAATGTCCTTTTTATACTTTCGACGAGCCTATCGCGGATCTAGTACGTGCCACTCTTTACTTCCACAAGTCTGGACATACTCAGCCCAAACTCAGCCGATCAACTCGAGCGATATTCACCACTTGAGATGTGATCTCAGGCAGTGCAAGTTCCTGGTACCTGGTCTTAAGTACCTCTCGGTGCTGTGCGTCGGATCACTGACCACGCGCGCCTTTCACATCGAGTTGAGAAGAGTATGCCAGAACCGATTTTGCTACCCTTCAGTTGTCTCGCTGATCAATACAATAAATGTCCTGTAGCTCACTTCCGCTCAAGGCGCCTCTTCAGCAGTACTAGTATGAATGGGTTTGAACATAATGATAACGTTTGTACTGTTGGAAGATGATGATCCTGAACATATCTATGACATATGCGTTGAATTATTTCGTCGGACGTTCTGAGCAACAATCTAGACCTAGAACATTCATTCTGGACTTGTTCTGGACTATAGGCTCATTGTCACGTTTAAATCGTGTTGATTGAGGTTTATTCAGTGGCTGTGTAGGTTAACGTTCACTGAGCAAAATTTTGGAGCTTCGTCACATACTACGTAACCACTGAGATAGTTGGCATGTCTGCTCTGTGTATTTGAACATTTCCGACGTTGTTTACAGACCATCTCGTGCAAAGTTACAGCTTTTCTATGGGTTATCTCTCGCAACCAGCGCTCAAAAATCTCAAAAAATATTCCTATAAAGGTGTAGATGAGTGGGTACTGTTCCAAGTGTTCTTTCGCTGTGATACTGAGCTTCGAGAATAAGATCTTTGGTCTCGCACTATCTCCTCACGCCATACTGGAATTGGTTCATCAAGCTCTTTCCATTGAACATAGCCCCAAATACTGTATGTTATCACCACTTTGCGGTTGGTATCAGTTGGATTAATTTTGCTCAGATAACCTTGCTTGGCCTGTGCATCGTTGTTTTTAATGTTGTCACACTACTATATTATGACCCGCTTTACTTGACCGAGAAGGATGGGGAAACAGGACCTCCTCAGTGGATCTACTTTACGTGCGCGCTCTGTTCTTTGCATCAAGTTCGTATCACGCTGACCCTCGAAACTTAGATGGGCGATCGGGTTGTTCATGTACCAAAGTTTAGACGCCGTAGATGGGTGAGTCGATACCTTTACATCAGTCACTATCAATGCTTATCCAAGCGCAGGAAGCAGGCACGGAGAACGGGAATGGCCGGTCCTTTAGGAGAGATGTTTGATCATGGTCTGTGCGCGTTTCCTGATGCATGTCAACATTTAACTTTCTTTTTTTCATAGGTTGCGACGCACTCAACACTACAGTACGTTGTCCGCACTTCAGGTTGCATATCTGGCCTCATCCTTTGTGCTTTTCAGCTCGAGGTCGTTCTTGCGTCGCGCGCACTCAATCTTGGCCGTTCGTGGTGGACTGTTGCATCGCAAATAGCCACTCTTGCAAATTTCTACTTGACCACATGGGAAGAATATCATACTGGTGGGTCTAGTGCCATGTACAAGTCGTGTTCATATATTGACATGCAATCCAGGAATATTGTACCTCGGTCCTTTTTCAGGTCCAGTAGAGGGTATCTTAATGATCGTGATTATCTATGTTATAACGGGAATATTCGGTAGGAGGTTTTTTCAATTTACGAAACCCTCGATCTCACTCGCACCACAGGCCCTACATTCTGGGACAACAAACTCTTGACTTTCACCCGTCTAGATAGAATACCCCAAGTTGTTCAACACGTTCCTAACATCGGTCTCAATGAATCTTTCATGGTTTTCGGTGCTTTTGGTCTGGCTTTCAATATTGTCTCAAGGTGAATACAGCAGCAATCATCTGGTACATATATTAACGTTTCCTCAGTTACCGCAATGTCATCAAAGCCACGAGATCTGACGGGAAGTCGAGTCTCAAACCTCTCGTCTACCTCCTTCCCTTCGTCATTTCCGCGACCCTCCAGATCTTGTGGTTGTTAAGCCCCTCTTACCACGACTCCACCATCATTCACTCACCACTCTTCCTACCGTTTCTTTTCGCATGGGGCTTACAGTTTGCTCACCAAGTAGGAAGGATGATCTTGAGTCATATTACACGTGCACCGTTTCCCCTGTGGCACAACATGTGGCTATGGAGTGTTGTCGGGATGGTCGATGCTCAACTCCCGTTCCTATTTGACAGGTGAGCATCGAATATCAATGCACTGATGTTGAGGAAGCTCATTCGAGAATAGATCGCCGTTAATACAGTCAACACCAAAGCGAACGGCGGTGTTCGTCTACCTGACGCTCGCAGTTTCGCTCATCACCTATGCACGCTTCTGTGCACTGGTTATTAGAGATATCACGGAGTTTCTCGGTATCGCTTGTTTTACTGTGCGCAAGAAGGATGGAGAGGGCGTGTGGAGGGAGACGCGTGATATACAGCAGGATGGGTATGTGAAACGGCTTTGACACGAGTAGTTTAGAATTGGAACATGGAGCACATTTCTTGTCTACACTGTCGTATGATTATTCACTCTAGATCTTCGTCTGCTAAATACCATTGCTTGGACATGGCTCTGGCCCCTGGGTATAAAGACAGTGGTGTAGTAGACCGGACACCATGAATTGGAACCATGTGATGTAGGTCCCTGACCCGTCATCTCTACATGCAGACGTACCCCGGAAGTAACTCCAGCTAAATGGAGTTTCCGGGTCTTGCTCGAGTCACGTCTAATGATCAATCATATTTTTATCTTTTCTATGTTCTCTAGTCGTGCTTTTTGTAGATCATATCGATTAACCGCCAACTTTTGCACTCTGATACCAAAATCCATTGGGACACGTACAATGACCACTGAAACCTCAGATTCACTCATTGCTGAAATCGCACAGGCAACAGGTGCATTGAATGATCTCCGACTACAAAATGCCGATGCGTCCAGTATAGACGCTGCCAAGAAGAGACTTGGCGAGTTGAAGAAAACAATGGCCGCGATGAATATCGCAGGCGGGAGCAAGGACGCTGGAAAGAAGAAGGAGCGGCTCCTCCTCAAAACCGCAAAGGTGTGTTCGAGTGTGCACCGCGATCATACACCTCTGAAGGGTACTCAAGTAGGCTGCATAGGGCACGCGTGATTATGGCGCCGCGGAGATGTTTTGCCGGGAACATGTTGAGCGCATCGTTAAGGATGTGTTCACGTCTTACGGCGGGAGCGCCCTCGACACACCTGTGTTCGAGCGCAAGGACGTGCTTGCTGGAAAGTACGGCGAGGACCAGAAGCTTATTTTCGACTTGATGGACCAGGGGGGCGAACAGCTTGCGCTCCGGTATGATCATACTGTTCCTTTGGCACGGTATCTGGCTATGGCCGGTGCTACGGTCCAAGCGAAGATTTGGCAAGTCGGCAAGGTCTATCGGAGAGACAACCCTGTCATGTCAAAAGGTCGAATGCGCGAGTTCTCACAAGCAGTACGCACTTTCTCACTTATACCCAGGGTATCCTGAACAACTTGTTGCAGGATCTGGATATTACAGGTGCATGGGACCCAATGATCCCAGATGCTGAGATTATCAGTCTACTATGCACTATCTTGACGAGATTGGATGTTGGAGAATTTACAATCAAGGTAAAGTTGTTCAAACAAGGTTTGGGTTTACCCTGACGCCTTTCGACCTAGCTAAATCACCGCAAAATTCTCGATGGGATCTTTGAGGTTTGCGGTGTGCCACAGGCCAAGATTCGATCGATATCCTCGGCTGTGGACAAGTTGGACAAGGTTGGTTGATAGAGATACATTCTTGCTGTTGTTCTGATTGCGTGCAGCTCCCCTGGATAGAAGTGAAGAAAGAAATGACAGAAGAGAAAGGACTTTCTTCAGATGTCGCTGATAAGATCGGAGAGTATGTCAAGCACAAAGGTAGGCCGCCTTGATTTTATGCAGAGTTAAATATCTCATCTCTTTCGTGATACAGGTGGCCCGTCACTACTCGATATTTTGAAAGCAGATGCCACTCTTATGGCAAACCTGAGCGCCAAGCAGGGCATTTCAGACATGGATATTCTCTTTACTCTCCTGCGAGCTTACAAAGTTCTCGACAAAGTAGGCTCGTTTTCTGTGAATCGAAACATGATTTTCACGTATGAATAGATCTCATTCGACATGTCTCTCGCCCGCGGTCTAGACTATTACACAGGCATCATCTATGAAGCTATCGTCGAAGCATCAGCACCACCAGCTCTTACCGCAAACGCAGAGTCCCCAGCCCCAGCCCTCTCAAAGCCGAAGTCTTCGAAAAAAGCCAAAGCTGATGACGGCGAAGAAGATGAATTGGACGAATCGCAGGTTGGTGTCGGGTCCATCGCTGCTGGTGGCCGGTACGATAACCTGGTTGGTATGTTCACTGCCGCCGCCGCTGCTGAAGGGAAGAAGGCACCAGGACTTCCATGTATTGGGGTTAGCATTGGTCTTGACCGGATCTTTGCAATTGTGTGGCCGAAGTGGGTGGAGAAGGGGATGCGGAGCAAGGAGACGATGGTATATGTGTTGGCTGCTGGTGATGGCTTGTTGGAAGAGCGGATTGCACTCGTACAGGAACTCAGGGAAGCAGGCATAAAGGTTAGTGGCGCTAGCATTCTTCAAGTCATGCGTTGACTGGTCTTTTCAGACCGACTTCCTCGCAAAGAAGAAGCCGAAGCTCACTGCGCAGTTCATGGCTGGTGAAAAGGATGAAGTGCCTTTTGCTGTGATTTTGGGCGGTGATGAGCTCAAGGAAGGCTTGGTGACTATCAAGGAGCAAAAGTGGGAATTCGTGGATGGGAAGAAGACAAAGGTCCAGTCGGAAGATCAAGGCCTGAAAGTGCGGCGGGACGAACTGATTAGTTGGATCAAGCAAACACCGACATATCAAGGCTGGTCGAGCGGTCGACTTATCTAGGAGGAATACTATTTCACCGTACCCTGTAATAGATTAGAGTGGCGCAATGTTGTGTGTCCATGTTTGTCCTGTCAATACTTTGTCACGAGGTTTCAACTTTTCCTGCCAATTTCCAGCTTTCTTTTCTCAACCACCACCCCGACAATATCGACAAGGACAGCAACAATGGATGACGGTACGTTTTCAGCATCAGCCCCGACGACGACAGCCAGTTCTACGTTCAATAGTTTCTTCTGTTCCGGCACAACCGCCTCGTACATACCAGCACTATTTTTCTCATCGCATTCATCAGTCTCATTCCGTTCTTGAATTCGGAGCAGCTGGGATGTCTTCACCACCAAATATCGGCTGAAGGCCGATAACGACCTATCTAGAAATACTGATGCGCAACTCGAGTAAACCGAGCTCTCTCGACTTCTCATACGTAGTGCGCCCTCAGTAGTTCATTCGCGTGCACTATGACGCGTACGCGCGGCACAGTATAATCGCCCCATTCCTCCTCCACCATTCTACCCACCGCCATGAATCGACATTGATCTTGTTTTCACCCTTTCCGCCCATTCAGCCTGGCAATCACAAGATATTGCACCTTCTGGGATTAGCATTCCCACGCACGAGGCCAATATGAATGGTGGACCTGCTGGTAGGGAGGAGCAGAACTGGAACGGCAATGCTCGCTCACCTGGCAGAGAGCGTGGGGGTGAACCTCCCAGACGCTCTAGCCGCAGCAGGAGCCCCGTACGGGATGACAGAGGGTGGGTGGCGTTAGAGTTTTTTCACGTCTGAGGCTGACAATATTCGTAGCCGGGGGGGTGGTGACAGCGGTGGTCACAACCCTGGAAACAATCTTCATGTCTCAAACTTAAGTCACCGTGTTGATACGCGTGACCTTGAAGCGGTGTTCGCTAAAATTGGCCGTGTACGTGTCGTCCTGTGGATTTATTTCTTGCTGCTGATCCAATAGGAATAGGTCAAAAAGGCTTCTGTCATGTACGACCCGCATACCCGCGAGTCTCGTGGGTTCGGATTCGTCACCATGGAGACTTCTGAGGAGGCAGACGCTGCCATCACCGCGCTCAATGCGACTGAAATCATGGGGAAGGTTGCCACCGTAGAAAGAGTATATACCCTCATGCTTTTGAATTTTGCCAACGTTTGTTGATTTGGCGTTTAGGCCCGCCGCGGACGTGCGCGTACTCCGACACCTGGAAGGTACTATGGCCCTCCCAAGCGCCATGATAGTAAGTATTTGTGTTGTCAGAGTATTCTTTGGTTCTCACAGCTCTCGAATAGATGAGCGCCCGTACGACCCGCGCCCTTACGACAGCCGCTATTCCCGTGACTATGATGATCGTCGTCGTGGAGGTCGTCCTGATGAGTATCGAGGAGGAGGTGGTGGTGGTGGCGGCGGCGGCGGCGGCAGGGACTACGATCGCGGTGGCTACCGTGACTATGACCGAGGGTACAGTGGTGGTGGTGGTGGTGGTGGTGGTGGTGGAGGCCGCGGCAGTCGCGACTACGATCCTCGTGGCCACGACTACGACAGGAGATACTAAATGTGCCCGCTCTCAACACGGATCATCTCGCGTTATGTTTTGCTTTCGTTAATATGTATTCCATAAGTAACTGTGGTGAATAAAGCCTGTTGCACGATGGATCATGAATGCAATGTTTAGATCCACTGATCTCGAGCCTTCCCATTTCACACATGTATTGATGTTGTTAAACTGCTTTTGCACAATTACTGAGTAGTGCAAGAGTACTTGCAGGACACTACATTGCAAGGGCTTCCTCAGGTTGAATATTGAATATTTGAATGAGCACCTATATTTGTTTCTCTAAATTTGCAGGTGAATGATCCTTCATGAATAAGCGCCTACTGATATATTTAGTCTGCGTATTGCTTTCACGAATAACGCCCCAGAAACACCATGACCCAAACCTAAACTCATACAGAGAAAACGCACAATCTGGTCTGACTATTTCTTTTCTGTCTGCTATCGGAGACTAATTGTTAGTTTGTCATAGGCCCTCTACAAACCGAACCGAGTGATGCGAATCGGCGTGTCGTCCGACGGTCCAGATCTTCGACTATTCACAATGAGCGAAGTCCAGAACTTCATCCACAAACGTCGAGATCAACTATTTGGCAAGGTGCAGGCTTGGAGAGGAACTATGGAAGCTCCGAGTGCGTGCATGAGGCTGGGGATTATGTCCAACAAGAGCTTTGATTTGTGGCTGCGGCAAAGGGGTATTGAGACGAAGGAAGGCATCGATTGGTGTTTGATCAAGCAGGTGAAGTGAATCAATATTGCCAACAGTGCATATTGGAGTGAACATACACAGGGCGAGCCTCTATCCTAGGTTCGGGGTGAGTGAGTTGGTCGGACTTAAGCTTCATGTGCGTCCGCTGGTGGGTTCAAATCAGGCTTTTGACTCGAATTATCATACTATGGGTTGATCCGGCCGCCGTCTCAAGATTTTTGACAAGCTTAAGTTTGATATCAGAAGCTTTGACCTCACAAGTACCTCACTCGAATCGATATATTTGCACTCTATTATGCAACGAGGCAAGGTCCGAACAAGAGAGCCTCGTGGCATTAATTTGGTACAGTGCCGTGTCACAGGCGTGGCACTGCGGCGGCGGCGGCGGCGGCGGCAGGACCGCGCCAAATGCAAGTCACCTACTCGAGCACGATTATTAGCGGCTTGAAGCAATGGTATGTCTGGAAGGGCGATCTCTACTATTCGAGCACACTTCGGTATCTCCCACGCAAAACCCCCCTCCAAGAAAAATGGTTTGAGTGGCATTTGACATTTACCCATCGCGTAAGATGAGTCAGGAAGAAACCTCGCAGCAAGGATCAAGTCATCGTGCCCTCCAAATGCCAGTGGTCCTACAGGGTGTGTTGAAGTAGCAGTATCGTATGATCTGGTAATGCGCTTACAAATTTTTCTTAGCCAGGAGAGGAGTCCAGGACACCGTGCCACAGCAGTGATGTGCGTATGGGCATCTGCAAGCGTTTCTAGTTGGTACTTGCTCTTCGACGATATGTCAGAAATGGTCACGCCCGAACAAGGAGTACTGCTGGTAATCTTTTGGCCGGGACCATCGGGAGAAAATCCCAGACATGTCGGGAAATCTGTACTGCTCATTCGGCGGGACTGGTGTGAATGTAAAATGATACCCTTGACAATGAATGACGGGTATAAGGTGCAGGATATATACAAACGAGGTTCTGCCTTCGATACGAAGTGAAAGCAAGAAGTAAGTGGACTATTTCTCGTGAAGTGTGGTTCATACCAAAATAATAAATTGAATACTACATGATTTTTATAGAGTACACACGGCTGACTTGGACTCCGATAATTGTGGGTCTATCTATCTCATAAAAGCCGCCATGTTTTATCGCCACTCACTTATCGTCTCACCTCTGAAACGTTCCAGGAATTTCCGAATCTCCTCTCACTAATCCTTATATACGCAAAATCATGGAATGCTCTATCCGCAGGTGTTCTGCAGCCATCAGCGTCCCGGAGGTACGCTTTTCCTGCTCTACAGTTGCCTCAATTAACTGAATATTTCTCCATGTTCAGGGTCAACAAGTGGCATTGTTCGACGGAAAGCCTGTTTGCGAGAAGTGCGATACCTTCTTGCATGTCAGTAGTTCTTTTCGCTCTTTGGACAGTGTTCTGATTTAGGCTTTCATCCCCAGGTGCCCCTCCCGACCTTCACTAGAAAAACAGAATCTGTGAAGGTTCGCATCTTCCCTTTCTTCTGTAGACATCATGCTGATTTATGCTGTCTCCACAGAGGCAATACGAAGAGTCCGAGGCTTATAAGAAAGAAGTCGTTCACGACGGACGACCTCTTTTGGATGTAAGTCATTGATCGCTCTCACTCACTCACTCCTCAATATGACTCTTTAGTACCCAGCGCATCTGCCGTTCCCAAAGCAGGGCTACGGGGTCAGGCGCATTCAAGTCCCTGACGAGGATGGTGTTATGCGGTACAAGTACGTCACCCGCCGCGTTGAATCCAAAAAGAAGTGACGGGCATCAGTAAAACTACCTATTCTTTCTTTGGCCTTGAGTTCTTTAATGTGCATTCACGAGAAGTAGTCCACTTGCTTCTTTCTTTTCACTTGGCATCGAAGGTAGAATCGTGTTTGTATATATCCTTCAACTTATACCCGTCATTCATTGTCAAGGGTATTTCACATTCACACCAGTCCCGATCACTACGAACGCCCTGACATGCCTGGCATCTTCGCCCGACGGCCAGAAAATTGCCAGCAGTACTGCTCGTTCGGGGGTGACCATTACTGACATATCGTCGAAGAGCAAGTACTAACTAGAAATGCTTGCAGATGCCCAACTGGCATTTGGAGGGCACGATTACTTGATCCTTGCTGCAGGGTTTCTTCCTGACTCATCCCACGCAGTAAGCTTGTCAAGTGATGGAGAGTTGCTTGCATGGGATACAGGGAGCAGGGTAGTCACTCAACGAGTAACTGTGTCATTGTCAAATGCTGCTCAAACCATTTTCGTGGCGGCTCTATCTGTCGATAGTACTCTCCTTGTATACAAGGGGGGGTGTTGCGAGTCTAGCGATAAATTATTCTGGAATCTTCTGGAGGGAGAATGATTCATCAGGAAGGAGGCAGTGTCGGTTAAGCTGGAGTTCTTGGAGCTGACTGTCCAGGCACATGGATGACTTGCAGAACAATTAGAGACTTGGAGCAGGCACCGCTTGTTTACTCGACTCACGACCGAGTCGGACTCAAGGCGCCAAGAGCGCTTGGTGAGTGCCAGTATGTGTCAAAATTATAAACTATGAGTAATCATTTTTAATACCGGCCGGTGCACTCAAGTAGTGTAGCATAATTAACGTATGCTCCGTGACTCCCTGTAATAGTTTTGTACTGCGACTCGTTCGACGCATGGTTAATGTTTTTAATACTATGACGAGTCGCCGACGCTGTGCTAACATCATAACCTAGGCTGATGGTATTTCGTATAAACTAGCTTATGAGGCTCGCGAGAGATGGGGTTGAAGGAAGGATTCTAAGTGGAGAGGTCATGATCCACTTAGCAATTTTCAACCTTGCCTGGAACAGCTCAGTAGATCTCAAATCCACGCTTCCCAAGTGTGTATACTCCGCATTTTTTGTATATCCTTCAACTTATACACGTCATTCATTGTCAAGGGTATTTTACATTCACATCAGTCCCATTGAATGAGCACCACGGACGCTCCGACATGTCTGGCATTTTCGCCCGATGGCCAGAAAATCGCGAGCGGTACTGCTTGTTCGGGGGTAACCATTATCAACATATCGTCAAGTACCAGCCAGAAATGCTTGCAGATGCCCATACGCACGTCACTGCTGTGGCATGCCAGTCTCCTGACGGACAAAGAATTATAAGCACATCACCAAACCATACCATACGTTGCTGGAATGCTACTTCAACACACATTGTAGAACCACCATTTGGAGGGCACGATGACTTGATCCTTGCTGCGGGGTTTCTTCCTCACTCATCTTACGCAGTAAGCTTGTCAAGTCCGGGATGTCACTGTGCGTAGTAAATTCATTAGGTAAAATCTGGTGATAATGTAATGAAATTCACAGTACAAGGTGCTGAAATCGAGGTGCTGAAAGTTCCGATTTTTACTCTGAAATTTCAGTGATATTGCGCTGAATTTTTACTCTGCTGAAATTCTGCTCGAAAATGACAAAAATATATGTTATTGATCGCCGTAACGCCTCACACAGACATGATACTACCCATTCAGAATTTACCAATGGCAGGAATTGAACTGATGACCCTATGCCATTGGGCTTAAGGTACGTAACATCACTGCCATTGAGCTATAGTGTCTGATTGGTTTAACTGAGAGTTGCCTGTATGGGACACAGGGAGCGGGGCAGTCACTCGTAACTGTGTCAAATGCTGCTCACACCATTTTCGTTGCGGCTCTATCTGTCGATAGTACTCTCCTTGTCACTAGCAATACAAACTTGAAGGGGGTGTTGCGTGGGAAATACCAAAGTGTGCCCGAATAGCGGAGATCGCGCTTCCAGACATACCATTGCTTCAAGCCGCTATTATATCGAGTTGTCAGTACTTGGATTTGGCTACAAGTCTTTCTGGACATGGGATGTGAATAAGGGGAAGCATGACGATGCGCGCTTCGAAGGCCTGGATGGAGATGACATCCCATTTGCCATGGCAGCTTCTCCAGATGGCAAGTTTTTGGCGCTGGAAGTGAGTCAAATTGATGGCGACCTCGATCACCCCACACATTTCTATGATATAAAGGGTCACGAATTCACTACCTCCGATATAAAATATACCCATCCATTTGCATTCTCACCGAACGGCAATTTTTTTGCAGCTTCGAGCGTGCCCTCGGATTTTAAGGACGGCTCTTATAAGCTAATTATACATTCAGTGGAAGCTAGACAAGCAAACTTACCTTCGTTCAATCCTGACTAGTACTAACAAAGTGAACTAAATCCTTGGTTGCAGCGCCCTTGATGTGAGATTTAGGTTCATGGTAGAATACTAAACTCGTGGTATTCAACAGTTCCCTGCAAGTTTGCCATATGATCAATTTCATGGGTACTCCTGGCATGTTGGTTCACGCGTTAATCTGACGACTTCGCATGTAGTATCCAGCTGTGGCTACATGCAGCCTGTTGCTAAGGACTTTGATATTTCGAATTTCCAGACTTTGAGACTGTGTACCGTCCATGGTACGTACACCTAATTTCAAGTTCGATTTGTATTTTCCAGTTTGTTGCCTCGGAGCCAGAGGTGTTCGCTCCCAAGGTGCATGGAGAGTAAGAATGAAGTTACACAACACTGATCTGGGATAACATCTCATGCGGCAAGACACAATTTGCGATGAACGTGATAGTCGAGTGTCAGAGTTGCGATACTGAGTATCGTTCAGCGACATCGTTGTACTAGAGTGATTGAAACATCATAACCGCGAGCATGCAAGTAACCGGCACCGTATACTTATATGGCCGGTTTCATTCTAGGGAAATTACACCCCCGACATAGTCAGGGGACTGGAATCCCTTGAACTACAGAAGCAATTTAACGGCGTAATATTAACGACCAAAGTGATGGGCACATGAACGCCAACAGTGAGAGGGTAGAGTATCTTTTGCAGATCTGCTCAGCTCTCGACTACATGAGCCTCCGCCGTATGCTGTACCACTGTGACAGTTGGTGTTCCCATGCGTGAGGATATGTCAACGACCGTCACGCATACGATGGGATAATTTATAACTTACCAAATGTCCTGACCACCGATGCATCTTGCCTCGCCTCCTTGTCTTATGTATACCCCCAGTAATAGCCTGTTGAATTACCGTGACGGAGATGCCCTCCACCCGTGCAGAGCATGGTGATTCATTTCAAAGCCGAACTTCCGATGCCCATCTCTGTAATATATTTGCCCCTGCCGCGTCTTTTCATCTCTTCCACAACTTCTCCGACCTTCTGGAACTCAGTCCAACCCTGATGATGCTCATCATTGGCCGGATCTATGGGTTCCACGAATCGCACCCTTAGCGCCAGCCACTGCATAGATTTGACGCTGGCAACAAATTCTTGTATATTTTCCTGTGAACCCTGTGCATAAATGACGCCCGGGTAGCCAACTTTGGCGAAGCCAGATATCGAAAGTTCAGAGGACCATCGCTGTAATGACCGCCGTTTTGTTGGGGACACGAGGTGATGAGACGTCAGGAGGGTGTGGTAGTCTGCTGGCTCTGGGAGACGGTTGGTGCTCTGTTGTTCTATGATATCCGTACTCCCAACACTACTATGTCCGTCTTCATGTAGTTTCGGCAGCAAGTGCATGCATAGCAACTGGTAGATCGGAAAACTCCATATAATTTAGGATTCCTCACACTATAACATGCCGTGATGTACTCACTCATTTCCTTGTACCTCGGCCAATTTCTCCTGAACAAGGGCTCGCCAGCGGTAATGGTCATCTCTGGATATGCCCTCCCCGCTGACCGAGATGAAGGGAACCTGTGCGGTGTCGACATCCGAATCCTCCGGATATCGCTCTGGGAACTGTACCTCGAAGAAGATCCGTGCGTCCGTAGCCTTCACTTGGAACTTGACTTGTGGAACTGGGCTGGGCAGAGATGATAGATTTGTAGTGCTAGCAGCAGTGTTGAAGGAGTGGAGTAGCGAGGTCCATATTCTAGAATCTTCTGGAGGGAGGGCGAAGGAGAATGATTCACCGGGAAGGAGGGAGTGTTGGATAAGCTGGAGTTCTTGGAGCTGACTGTCGAGGCACATCGGAACAGTTAGAGACTTGGAGCCGGCACCGCTTTTCTACTCCGAGTCGGACTCAAGAGACGCCAAGAGCGCTTAGTGAGCGCCAATATTTTCGGGTCCAAAACTATGAACTATGAGTAATCATTTTCATAATATCGGTGCACTGAATGCAATAATTACCGGCCCATGAAAAAGTCCGACTTATTATGCTCCATTACTCCACGTAATGGTCCAATTGTACTGTGACTCGTTCGACGTATGGTTAATGTTTTCAACACTATGACTAGTCGCCGACGCCGTGCTGACAATGTTAACATAGCCTAGGCTCTCGGTATATTTGCTAGTGGATCATGACCTCTCCACTTAGAATCCTTCCTTCAACCTCATCTCTCGCGAGCCTCACAAGCTAGTCTATACAAAATCACCACCTAGCAATTTTCAACCTCGCCTGGAACAACTCGGTAGATCACAAACACACGCTTCCTAAGTATGTATACTCCGCATTTTTGTATATATCCTTCAACTTATACACGTCATTCATTGTCAAGGTCATTCTACATTCACATCAGTCCCGTTGAATGAGCACCACGGACACTCCGACATGCCTGGCATTTTCGCCCGATGGCCAGAAAATCGCGAGCGGTACTGCTTGTTCGGGGGTGACCATTACCGACATATCGTCGAAGAGCAAGTACCAGCTAGAAATGCTTGCAGATGCCCATACGCATATAACTGCTGTGGCATGGTCTCCTGACGGACAAAAAATTATAAGCGCATCACCAGACCATACGATACGTTGCTGGTATGCTACTTCAACACACCTTGTAGGACCACCATTTGGAGAGCACGATGACTTGATCCTTGCTGTGGGATTTCTTCCTGACTCATCTCACGCAGTAAGCTTGTCAAGGGATGGAGAGTTGCTTGTATGGGACACGGGGAGCGGGGCAATCACTCAACGAGTAACTGTGTCAAATGCTGCTCAAACCATTTTCGTGGCAGCTCTGTCTGTCGATAGTACTCTCCTTGTCACTAGCGATACAAAGGGGGGTGTTGCGTGGGAGATACCAAAGTGTGTGCGAATAGCGGAGATCACGCTTCCAGATATACCATTGCTTCAAGCCGCTATTATACCGAACAATCGTCCTCGAGTAGTACTTGCATTTGGCGACAAGTCTTTCTGGACATGGGATGTGAATACGGGGAAGCATGACGATGCGCGCTTCGAAGGCCTTAATGGAGATGATATCCCCTTTGCCATGGCAGCTTCTCCAAATGGCAAGCTTTTGGCGCTGGAAATTGATGGCGACGTCGATCACCCCACACATTTCTATGACATAAAGGGCCACGAATTCACTACCTCCGATGTGAAATGTACCCATCCATTTGCATTCTCGCCGGACGGCAATTTTTTTGCAGCTTCGAGCGTGCCCTCGGATTCGAAGGACGGCTCTTCTAATCTAATCATACGTTCAGTGGAAGAGGCAAGCAAACTTACACCACGCATTCAATCCTGACTACTAACAAAGTGAACCAGATTCTTGGTTGCAGCCCCCTTGATGTGAGATTTAGGTTTATGGTAGAATACTAAACTCATGGTATGCAACAGTTCCCTGCAACAATCAGCGCGAAGGCCAAAGGAAAACAACGTTCGTTGGGACACAACCCGGCGTTCTTCGATCAACCGCCACATCCTTCTGGCAGTACAACGGGTCGCCATGTAAGATGTCACAGACTCGAATTCAAGTATATGCTAAAATTAATTTGTTAGATTCGATTTGGAATTGGACCCTCATCCAGCTCTGCTCACCAGCAGGCCTCCCCGAGGACCACCGGTCGGGAGCGGCGTATCCTACCTTTTCCAAAGATATGGAAACGGATTCGTCATCCTCGATCTCCGAAGTCCAATGTAGGGGAAGCTCATCAGACGTCTTCAAGATCTGCCAGCCGGGAACGGCGCATCCCACCTCTTGGCAGCGTTTGGACGCGCATTCGTCACCCTCAATCCCACAGGACAACGTCCACTCCACATGTTGTGGATGTAGCGACTGCACAAGCTAAAAGAGTACGTTCATCGTATTTGTTCTCAATAATGCATCTCAGGAAATTTCCAGAGGACCGTAGTTTCACGTCCACGTAAGACAACGACAACTCAGTCTTCTAGTAGTGCCAAGGCAAATCCCCTTTCGCAGTCTGCGTCGACTGCGGCAGGCTCGGCTCAGGCATCTAGTGACGTCAGGCATAATCACCAAGCAACCGCAGCGTCACCTTTGCCCCGCGAAGTTACATCTCAGAATAACTCGGCACAGTCGTCTAGGCAAGCCGGTCTACCAGGACATACACAAGACCACGTCGATAGAGGGGACCGGGAGAGCGTTGATTCAGGGATCATCTATACGGAGCGTGATACCGAGAGCGTCGAAGCGCATGGATGCTGGAATATTTTCTGGAATTGGTTGTGTTACAAAGGTGAGTTTCTTCAATTCTGGAGTGGACATAGTCAATTCATGCATTGCATTAGCGTTCTGATAGTGCTCATATCCCGCTTGACTATGTTCTATGTAGTATGATATGCTCTATGTAAACATGTAAACCTGTTCTCATGTGGATAGTGCTATGCAGGTCGTGTCAGCATCTTGTACGGTTTGCAAAGAATTGATATGGCAATTACTGTGATGAAGTCGGCCGATAATTGTAGCGATTAACGAGTTACGATAGAAAGCTGGGAACAATCCCCAGTCGCTGACCCTAAATACGATTTTTTAGCAACAAAACGAGTACTGCGCTTGATGGTAAGGCCCGTAAACTTTAGAACATGCTGATGTTGGCCTACCGCTTCTCGCATGTGTTACTAAACCAATCATGATGGATTATTAGTCTCCGTAGTCAGAGCATTAGAAAAAAGATAGTCGGTCCTTCTTAACATTGCATGGACCAGGCAAATTACCCTTGTGTCTCATGACCTTTCAAGCATCCAATCAAACGTCAAATTTCCCTTCGCAACAGCTTGAGAGGACTTTGCTATCTCAGCGACATTGACGAGGCAGGAAAGTAGACTGGGCGAAGCTCACATGTTGCTGCTGATCTGTGAGAGCACGTATCGGAAACTCATTCTTCAGAGACGTGGTTGCACCTTTTAAAAATCATGCTGGTGTTGAGAGGTGCTTCCGTGTTCCTGTTTTAAGATGTCACCACCGTCAGTGCCGAGATAATTACTTACTATTGCCGTTCACATTGGTATCTGCTAACAGTCGTCTGCATCCCGGACAAAACCGAGGCTACGTGGTCCGTGTCAGAAGAGATCAACTCGGAAGTCACAAGCTTCCATATTCACTTATATACGTCTCTGATGCACAAACGTGCCAATTGGCAGACTGAGGAGTCAAACTTTTATGGTGAGCAAACTAAATTCAGCATTATCCTACTGGGTACAAGAAGACAGCGGGTACTTCTTATTCGTCACAGTGCTACTTGCTATTGGTTGGAGGATCGGACTCGACATTCGGTGCCACCTTTCCGGGTTATTCAAGAATGCGGAATGTTGTACCAGATGCTGGTATTGGGTATCATAGTAGGATCCTGGACGTCGTATCTTCAGAGAGGTCAACAAATGTTCCAAAATCTACGCAGAGGGAGAAAAAGATCAGCAGTGGGAGCACAAAAGAAGCTGAACAACACATCCGATAAGACTCCTCGTACCACTTGGACGATGCATGATTGTTGGCCACGGGGAAGGGTATCGAGACAAAGATGAGCGTTGATGAACATTCATTGTCGTCTTTTTCGAGCAGGTAAAGCGAACAGCCCCAATGATGCGTGTCGTACGTGGGTCCAGGGTGAGTGAGTAGGTCGGAGATGTCGAGTATGATTTGATGAGTATGCGATCCAGAACGATTCAAAAACCAACCGCGAAGTCTAACACATACACAGACCTATTGGATAGAAGGCAGTTGTTTTGTTCAAGAAATCTTGATCGCTCGCACAGCCCAGGGTGTAGAGAGTGAAATGTGAAACAAAGAGAGACGAAAAATTTGACGAAGGATAGAAGCGCCTACTGGGAAATGGACGAAACTACATTAATATTGACGGTGCCATGCACAGACAGAACTGGAAGAAATTTGTTCTTTATTTGAATATGGGAAATTGGATATGTTGGAACTTGGAAACGAAGTTTGGCTTACATAAGTGAGCAGGTCTAACACACTGTGGCCTCAGTCGCAGTGCATGGAAACCCTGCCAGGACGAATTTCATTCCCACGATGGGGTCACAGCCACTGGTGTGGATACGCGATCAAGAACATGGCACAATTTGGGACCACCACAATGCTCGTAGAACATAATCACAGAGGCAAACCTTCTTATTTCGACATATTGAACATAAAAAATAGAGTGGATTTCATGTTCACATTCATTTCCCGGATCCAGATACATGTGTGTCTGGTACGAGAAATATTGGTAAACGAAGAAAATTTCAAAAATGGTTGCATTATCCATGATCTAGGGATTGCACAGAGCAAATTCCGTTTTTCATCAACCGTGAAGATTAGAGACATCAACGATAACACCCCGCCAGAAATTTGAAGGACATACCCAACCTGTCACCGATGCAATACAACTGCCCGACGGGCAGCGGATCATCACTTGTTCGATCAGCGGCTCACTGCGAGTATGGAACTTGGAGAGGGGAGAGCAGATGGGGGACGACTGGCGAGACGTAGAAAGTGACAAGTTCACACCATAGCATTGTCTCTGGATGGGAAGAACTTAGTGAGCGGGAGCGAAGATAGTGTGGTGACATTATGGGACGTTGACACAGGCAAGGCCAGCATGAAATGGACTGGACATGGAGATACTGTGACATCTGTCTGCTGGAGTCATGATGAACATTGAGTGGTGAGCGGATCCTTCGATGGTACTGCAAGGCAATGGAATGTGGAAAGTGGAGAAAGTATCCTCGAACCAATCAAGACCAGACATGGAGAAGTGGAGGCATTCGTCTATTCGCCAGACACAAAGATGATTGCGATTTCTAGATTCGACGAGACCTTGCCTGCTGGACCTGGAGATTGTTCGGTTAAGGTCTGGGATGCTAATACAGGGGCAGTGGTTACTACTCTCAAAGGACACACAGACAGAGTGTCCTGTCTAGGTTGGGGCGCGGAGCCTATATCTGGGTCAGCTGATCACTGGATTAGGATATGGGATACTTCCACGTGGAGGCAAATCATCGGTCTGGATGAGTACACTGCCGTTGTTAGTGCCATTGCAACTCATGATTGCATCTTGGCAAGTGCATCGCGCGACAAGACAGCGCGACTGTGGAACCTCGATGACGGCCAGCCAATCAGTTCACCCCTCAAACATGCAGATATAGTGTCCTGCGTGTCGTTTTCGGCTGATAGACAGCTAGTAGCCACCGGCTGCCACGACCACAATGCATACACATGGACAATCATTGGAGACACTCCAAGCAGCCCGCAGGTTCGGCCTCCGAAAAATTCGGGTGAGTTTTGGGGGCTCTTCTCATTGCGTCTGTGTTCGGGGCACTGAGGGCTCCTCCTGCAGGACAGTAACAAGCCATTGCCTGGTCTATAAAAAAACCATCTGATTTCTATTTCATCACCATTGGAGTGGGGTACCCCTCCAGCGGGGGGTGGCACATGCGGGTGTTTGCCACCATTTGCCTAGCTTAGTCAGTAGGGGTGGAGCCTTCGGGCGTTATCGTAGGTAGCAGGACCTGCTACCTAAACAGGTTGAGACCACACCAGCTTCCGTCTGCCAGAGGTAGGCACATTGCCAGCTGCGCCAATCCACTGTTGTCGATTGATTTCACTCAATATCAGATGCAGCAAGTCAAGGATGAACTATCCATATGGCTGGGGAACTGGGAGGGGTGAGAGTGGGTGCACACCCTGGAGGGGCGAGAATGGCTGCAAACCCCGAGGGGGCGAGAGTGGCTGCAGACCTGGGATGGGAACGACTGGCTAAAGACCCGAATGGGGCGAGATATGTTGCAGAGTCAGATCAGGAGAGAGTGGCTGTGAACCCAAGGCGGGCAAGACTGGCTGTGGACCCAAGACGGGCTCGATTGGCTGCAGACCCAAGGCAGGCAAGACTGGCTGTCAATGCACACCCAGGATGAGCGAGATACACCATTTGTACTGCAGCCACCAAGTGAACGAGGGTCGCTGGGGAACCAGGGCAGGCAGGTGTGGCTGCATACCCAGGGCGAGGGTTATATGCCACGCATGGGAGATATACCAGAGCCACAAAGTAGAGAGTGGTCGGATACGCAGGGAGATTGGATGCAGCCTGGGAGCTGGTGAGACTGGCTGGGCAGTGGAGAGTGGTTGCAGACCCCGGCTGGGCAACTTTGGATACAGATCCAGGGGAAAAACTGGTTACAGATTCAGAGTGGACAAGATTGGCTGCGGACCCGGTGCGGGGGAGACTGGCTGCAGACCCAGAGTGGAGAAGACTGGCTGCAGTCACAGGACGGGAGACTCTGGCGGCAGACCCAAGGCGGCAGAGATGTGCTACAGACCCAAGACCGCCTAGACTCCACCCTGAATACTCCCAGCGGTCGAGAATATCTCAAGCACCAGAGACCGGGCGGGTGGCTTTATTCCCAAGGCGGCGAATGGCTGCAGACCCAGGGTGGGCGAGATTGGCTGAAGACGCTTGATGGTCAAGCATATCAGTCGACTTGTGTAGAACATCTCAGCTTTTTCGCCCCTCTGACTTTTGGACTCGAAATTTTCGCCTTATGTGACTCCATTTTGCCCCAAACGGGCCAAACGGGCCAAACCCTACCTTTTGTAATCGATGATGACATCACTGTTCAAGCCGTCTTTGTTCACGCCGTATTTTTGCTTTATATTTTTAAATCCTTGATTATTGTCCTTTGGGGCCGGGCCCTATGATGGACATTACCTACACCTATGTATGTTTGTTCAAATCTATGTGTCAGCAATGGTTCTGGCTGCTGGCGCGAGCGAGAATGGTTTGGCCTTCTTCAGGCATTCCCAGGTTATTTGGGTGGTTGCATCCTTCTGTTGTTGCCTCCTCCTCTTCTTCTGGGGTGATACGTATCCGAAAACGCTCTCCTAAGACTTTTGTCGCTGAGCCTATGGCACAAAAACATCTCCGTTCTTTCGAGCATATCTTTCGCTCTTTCAATTACTCCACTTGAGTCTTGCAAACACACTACCTTAAGGCCACGACATCCACATCGACTCAATCCCACGGTCCAGAAACCATGCTAAATCCGACGCCCTTCATGAGCTTGGAGGGTCACCAAAGAAATATTTCGATCCCTATCCTACCCTCCGGATGGCCGACAAATGTCCGGGGCACCTGATGTGACAAGATGTGATCCGCAGGCGAGTTTATATGTAGCTTGATGAGGTTGAGTATGTTTCGGGTGAAGGGACGAGTTGATATCACTGTTGATGGAAAATTTTTATTATAGCGGCCTGAGCTCAAAGCCTACAGAGTTTGAGTGAGAATCATTTCAATGCGACTCATAGGATCAGCTGATCGACATTTCTGCGAACGACTGGCGACTGGGTCATGGGATGACAGAGCACGGATGCTGAGCTTGGACATTGACAAACTCATAGTGGGTCACCCATATATGCATCACCCCATAGTACCTGACAGCCTTGCTTTGGAGTCCGGCTGGCCCTGTGTGATAAGCAAAGCTTACCAGGTGCGTATTTATCCGTTCTTGCAACTGGTGCTGCTAGCCTCGACGATGGCTGAATGAAGAGACCAGCGTCATTAAGTTCATCAAGGGGTCTGTCAGTAGGGGTCCTGCTTGCCCTCTACGATAGCAATCAGTGAGTATTAAGATGTTGCACATAACTTCCATGCAGGCTTAAGTAGTCCGTATCAACTGTACACCATGTAATGCAACTGCTATTTCTCTCGCTTGAAATTGCCGATAGTTCAGCTCCTGTCCTCTAAAATACGAATCGCCTTGAAGTGCTATACCTTGTGTGGTGGGTTTGAATTGCCCCTTCTGGTATCTAGAGGCGACATGCAAGATACGGATCACAATGTTGATTGCGTATGTACACGAACATGCAGGATAACATGAGACAGTATTGACCTTGTGACAGGCCTCTAAATGTGACACCAATAGTCATAGCTAGGGAGGATACCCTGAAGCCGATCCTCACATAATTTGCTCATGATTGGTTCTGCTAGCACTGCACATTGTGTCCTGCGTGATCGAGTATCCACTAGTCTGTTATATGACTGTGTAGTAACGGTTATTAAATGCTTCGAAAATAGCAGGACAAAGAGCAATAGCAATAATGCGCACGCGAACAGATATGTTGATAGATAAGCTTTATGTAGCATGTCGAAGTGAAGGGTCCTCGTCACGGTATTTCACAAGATGGCGATCGTGAAAAACAGGAGCTGAGCTCTGAAGCAACGACAATAAGTCACACTCACTACTCAGGAGGGTCTATACAGACACTTGAAAGAGGAATAGCCAATATCGACAGGTGTTAGCTGCGAGGATATGGTTAGTCGATTCACATGAATGCAGACATGTGGAGTACAGAAGTCTGGAGGGTAGGCAGACACATTTTGGTGGCCTGAAGAAGGGGGGTCAAGCTAAATCTTCCAGGTGTGAGTGGTAAAGGGGACATTCTATGAACCAACAAACTGAGACAGGGCTTTGTTATCTACCACTGACATGCGTCTGACTGTCAGTGATGGGGTGGGAAGCTGGGCTAAGACGCCCCGAAACCGAGCATCTTGACTTGAAGTGGTCATATAGTGTGTGCATGCTGCGCAAACCCTTCTATGGGTACAGGGTATATGCAGACTATATTGAAGCTGATATCTGCAGATCTGAATGTTGACGATGTTGAAGTCGTCGATCAAACAGCATTGACAACTTGAAATGCTTACTAATAACTTAGTAGCATCAACCGGGCCCTACCTCCGAAATGAACCAGAACCATGATGTTGTCGTTAGTGGTCAACCGGTCACAGGCTGGATCTATGACAAGACTCAAATAATTGATGTAAGTAGTACCCGCTCTGAACATTCTGAACCTGGACCGAACAAGTAAGAAGACTGGCTTGCATTAATTACTTCATTGCCTATACTTACCTCCGAGTCGTGGCATGCTAGTATGCACTAGTACAACCACAGTTTGGCTTCGGCCCGCTCTGGTCTGGCGTTCAGCAGTTTGTCAGCATTTTGGCTATCCTAGTGAGCCAGGCCATTTATGTATAGTTTGGTCTGGCTCGTTAGCCGCACGAAGTGCCACGAACCAACCGTAAGCCAAAAATCGGCTTGAACTGGCTCGAGGCCAGCTTAAGGCGGCTCAAGCTGATTTGTAAATGCTGGAATCAACATCTTCTTTCTTGAAGTCTCGTTTCTGTTTAGATTCACTGTTAGATCCTCAACTTGTCAAGGCTCGAGTTATCACGTACCATGAACCACAAGGTTCCAATACGAGTTGATGGTAGATTCAGACTCGGAGATGTTATGGGATCCGGTTCATACAGTATGTCATTCACAAGTCATCTACAATTGTAAAGATTCAATATACTATGTGCCCTGCTTAGCTGTTGTATACCATGCACGGAACATCATGAAAGATGATGCAGTTGCCATCAAACTCAAACTCATCGCCAACCACTCATCTTCTGTACAGCGCGAATACACCATCTTGAAACGACTTGAAGGTGGAGTCAGAATACCCCGTGCCCTCTGGTTCGGTAGAGAGTCAGCATATCATGCTTTGGTTCTCAACCTCCTTGGGCCGTCATTGCATGATATTTTCCTTGCACACAATCAAAAATTCAGCCTTCACACTGTCGTGAATCTAGGAGACCAGCTGGTCAGTTGGTCTGTGCTGGGCTGTTGCAGATAGGCTAACCCATTTCCCAGCTCTCTCATCTTGAGTACATCCACTCACACAATTACGTTCACGGTGATATCAAACCACAGAATGTCTTGGTGGGTCTTGGCCATTTGAGGCACACTGCATTCATTATCGATTTTGGTATCGCGAAGGAATACTGGGACACTACAACCAAAGTCCATATCCCATTTCGTCAGAATCAATGTCTCACTGGCACTCCCGCATTCGCTTCACTCAATAATCACTTAGGAGTTGACCCGGGTTGTCGTGATGATCTCGAGTCGCTGACATACATGTTAATCTATTTGTTGCATGGCTCCCTTCTGTTACAAGTAACATCGGTCACGTGGCCCCCCTATCATTTTCCCTTCATCCTCGCCCTCACCATCTACCGGCTCGTCCTCCTTTACCGCCTTTCCATTGACCGGATCCTCGGGACTGTTCCCGTCCCTCGCATCGCCCGCCTCTATGCACGTGCACGCACGTTCCTCCTTTGACTCGACCACCAATGTGGTCCCGCACCTATGACCCGGCCTGACTCGTGCCACCAATGTGGCTTTCCTCTTTCTGTTTCCCCTGACTGCGGATTCCCGCACGTTGTATTCTTACCGTTGGTCCGTTCCAACGTTTCTCGGTCTCATTCCACATTCGACCATCCACCACTAATACGGCTCTGATGCCAGCGCACCTATACCATTCTCGTTTCCCCTTTGCCCTTACCTACTGTGCGGTAGCCTTGCCCTTAACCCTCTCCACTTAGTATAAGTAGTCGGTCACACTGTACTAGATTCTCTAACTTGAATCTACTCAATCTTCCCTGGAACATACTTCTCTCTGAAGCCCCCTCAGCTTCAGTCTCTAGTATCTTTTCTTAGTCGCTCCTCGCGACTAAGTCTACTTCGATCGACCTCATCGTACGGACAAGACAGTCCTTACGTTGAGTGACTTCACAAGACATCCGTCTATGAAGTCACGTGACATGCGCGTACTGTGATCGCTGCCGACTCGTTGTCGCCAGTCTCACTTGCCATACCGGACCCTTCCGGTTACGTCACGAACGTTAGCGGACGACACCCCTCTTAGGGCTCCGCCTAACAGATCTATTTGAGTGCGTAACACCTTCCATGGTTAACTAGTGACCATGAGAAGCTCTCTAGCTGTTCTATACTTGAGTGCAAAGTCAACACCACCATCGAAGTTTTATGTGATGGAATTCCTGTTGAGTTTGCAAGTATTCTCATTTACACGCGCTCTCTTGCATTTTCAGAAGACCCTGACTACAGACATCTTCGTTCATTGCTTCACGGTCTTCAAGCCACATTGTCTGCACCAGCTACGCTGGATTTCAGCCAGCCTGATGACCACATCATACATCCACCTCCGATCTCCAATGAACACTGGATGATTGAGGCAGCGCCCCCATGTCCGCTGGATGCAACACCTCTTCGCAGATCGAGTCGTGTGTGAGTGATCTGTTTCATTTTTCTGCGATCTGAAGCTCAAATGATTTCCAAGTTTGCACCCACATAAATGTAATGGCTCTCCGATGCACCCAACTACTTCAGCTCCACCCCAAAAAAAGACTCTAGTTGCTAAATCACGCTGTTGAATAATTATATCTATCTGTACATAAACTATACAGTGCACGAACGTTGGATGCGGCCAAACACATGTCAATGAATCATCAGATTCCTGATTCCTGACTCCCACGCAGCGCTTCTCAACGTGTCTCCTTGTCCATCGCAACTTGAGTGTTATTTTTCCGCAGATCAGTTGGCCTAATCAGCATCATGATTCATGACCATTGGCCAGCCTACTGGATGATGCATGGGGACCCTTCCTTTCACCAACGCCTCGCTCCCATTTTACAAAATTTGACCACGGGAATGAAGGTAAGCTTAACCCATTAATGTGGTTGATATCTGAAACACCTGCTTAGTGATACATACTATCATAGAAGCATTCATTGACAGAATATCTTACCAACACTCATCAAAGACGCCGGCACACAGGGCTTGAGTAGAGGCTTGGTATTCATGAAGATCCTCTATCATACACCCTACTGGATGGTGCATGGGGAACTTTTCGCAAACATGCCATGTCCCTTTCGCTGGATGGTATTGCTGTATTGCGATCTTGCTTCTGGACTTCACTGATCAGCCAATTGACTCTGAGGATGCAGGTAAGGTAAGCTTTACTTCACTTGATATATCCTACTGATTGCAAGATTCAGTGCCCATCAGAACACATGTTTTATGTTATCCTTCTCATCGGGTAAGCTCTATAGGTGCTGGGCATCGGGGAAACCCCACTCACATGTTGTGCTGCCTAGAACCACTTAAAGATCTCACAGTATGTAGCATGTACCCTGGGTGTACGTTCAGTTGTCGCCCTTGTGTCATCACAACTAATGATGCTGTGTTTAGACCCGTTACTTACCTTGTGCAACACATTGGATCTGTCATCTCAGTACTGGGGTTTCCCCGTCATTTCCCCAGGACAAAGCTTTATAATGACTGCCTTTGGATTTTTATCATTACAGTCACTTTAACATGCCTCCTCGTCGACGAGGGCAGAAGTCTCAGGTTGTCACCATACCTACCCCTGCTGCTATACCTCTCATCATTCCCACTGCTGCTGCCCATACCACTGCTGCCCCCATTGCTGCTGCCCCTGCCCCCATTGCCGCTGCCATTGCATTGAATGCATTTATGCTTCAACATCCCCATAGACAATGACAACTGCCTCTGAGGTTCCGCGACAACAGCCCAGTTCGGGTTGGCACTAGTCATACGGCAGATGATGGAGAATACATTGACATTGGCAATGTCTCTGGGGAGGAAGAGGACAACTTACCTGCACCTGGAGTCAGGGCTCCTCCAGTCCCCGGCCCACTGCAGACGGCTACTAGTACTGTCTACTCCACCCAAACTGATCCATTGGCCACAGGTATCTGAGGAATGCAGCCCAAAAGCACTGCTGATGTCCGTTACTTCTTCAGGCTAGATTCAGCTACTAATCGCAAGATCTGCCAACCCTGCGAGTGAGTATGTGTCTGCTGTTCTTTCATTATTTCTTACATCCTTGTCCAGGGAGTTGCAGAAGGTGGACAGTTCACACCAAATCTCTACATACAAGCACACGACTGGCATGTCGGCCCATCATAACCATGCTTTCTATTGTCATACCGACCTTTACCTACAAGAGGCAGAGCACTAGCGCTGGCCTATTCTTGTAAGGTCAGTCAAGGAGCGACTTAATGAAGGGTGGTCTTTGGCAGCCATCCGTGAAAGACTCCAGGACCCCGCTTATCATATCGACTCGCTTGGTCCCATCCCTAATCATGGACCTAACGATTCGCTGCCTGGAATTGGCTCATCTCCTGACGATTACATACCAGATTTTAGCATTGATGAGATGCACCGTCAGTTAGTGAAGTTCATAGTCGCAGATGATCAAGTGAGTTGGTATTTACTTTCTACGTGCCTTGCTAATTGATTATCTGTAGGCAATGAACATACTTGAATGTGTGGAGTTTCGGCGCCTGATACGTTTTCTGCGGAAGGATGTGAATGAGTCAGACATTCCTCACCGCACAAAACTTCATGAATTGATCATTGTCGCATGGCACAAGTATTTCCAGGTGTTGAAAAGTGATCTTGCAGTAAGTGTCTAGTTGTTGAGACTCGAGAGTCCCATCTTATGTATTCTTACAGAGGGTGCAAGGAAAAATATCCTTTACGTCTGACCTCTGGTCAGATCAGAAACTCCGCCCGTTCATGGCACTCACTGCCCACTGGATTGCCAAGGAAGAGCAGACGTCAGTGCTCATCTTGAAGGCAGCCTTGATTGCTTTTCACCACGTTCCGGGAAGCCATACTGGCAATGTTACAACCGCTATCTCATACTTTTACATTCTTACGATATGCCTTCCTTTCTTGAACTTGTACTTACTATCTCACGATGACTTGGTCTGTGCGCACATATGGATCTATTTAAGCACATGTATTACACTTGTATTCTTCACTTGAATCTTACTAGGTTTTACCTGGAATATCCTTCACTTAAGACCTCCAATCTTAAGTCGTCCTGAAACCCGATTCTTAGTCAGAGCACTCCTTTGACTAAGTCCACAGAACTCTCTCTTGTCTGAGAGACTGAGAATCTCAACGACCGAAAACTCTGTCAAGTTGTCATTGTTAGAACTATCCTAGTTCGTAACAAAAGATTCAAGTCGAAAGACACCACACATCTGTGTGTGTCTGATACCAACAGAACAAAAAAGACAAACCAAAAACAAGAAGAACTGCTGAGCAAAACAGCCAGCACGGACAGCAGACCTGACATCACTCACCCCAAGACTACAGGCCTTGAACCTTGGTACTTCAGTACCCCCGCTCAATATGTCGACATCAAACACTAGCAGTGGCAAAGAATTCGAATACAAGATAAACCACCCTCCCATATTCAATGGAGATAGGGATCTGTCTAGATCATTCCTCCTATCCTGTAACGCTTACATGGATATCAACGATAAACTCTACAAAGAAGACAAACATCGCATCATTTTCATCACGTCGTTTATGAACGAAGGAAATGCCAGATTATCACATATTACAGTGACCTATCTCCGTATAATACGAGGGAACGGACGTGCATAATATCCCATACAATATGGGCCGGCGGACCATGGGCCCATGGCAAAAATATCCTCGACCATGATGGATGGGCCGGGAGGGAAATTATTCCCAATGGAGGCGGGTGGGCCCATGCAGGGAATATGTAGAGTAAATGAGTGGGCCGATGTACATGAATATTCGGTAGACGGGTGGGCCGAGGTAGTTGGATATAATGCAGATGGGTGTATTAAGGTAGATGTGTATCAGATAGAAGGGTAGGTACTTGGTATCACATTCATGGATGGGCCCAGACGCATATTAAATTAGACGGGTGGGCCGAGGGTATTACAAAATATTGTATTAGATGGGTGGGCCCAGACACATATTACTTAGACGGGTGGGCCGAGAGTGTTGTACGAGATATTGTATTCGACGGGTGGGCCGAGGGTGGTATAAAATATAGACGGGTGGGCCCATGTGTATCATAATTGTAGACATGACGGAGCTGAGGTAGTTGTACATCAACCAAATCAGAGGAGGTAATAAATCAAAGTTACCAAGTTCCTGGAGCAGCAGGTGATCTCCTGACAATGGCCTTTGATGACATTTATGTTGTCTTGCAGAACATTGAATCCCGAGTGCGAGGCTTGTGTTGCCCTACGAGAAGCCAAGTTCCGACCACCGAAATTCAAGTGAAGCATACCAACTTCCGAGTGCCAAGTGCCGAGGTCCGAGTTCCGAGTTCCGGGACCCAGGACTTGACACAATTCATCAATACTTTCCGTGGCCTTTGATGGCGCTGAGGTTGTCTTGCAGAACATTGAATCCGGGTGCGAGGCTTGTGTTGCCCTACGAGAAGCCAAGTTCCGACCACCGAAATTCAAGTGAAGCATACCAACTTCCGAGTGCTGAGGTCCGAGTTCCAAGTTCCGGGACCCAGGACTTGACACAATTCATCAATACTTTCCATGTTAAATGGCCAACCAAAGTTGAGATGTTTCTGAAGAGAGTAGGTGCTCTCTTGACATGGCCTTTGATGGTACGTAGGTCGTCTTGCTTTGAATAAGACATAATTCACTGTGTAGTATTTCTTCGCAGACTCTGGAACGGGGTTCAGTCACAAGTATAACTCTTGAAGGAGAGAATCACCTCCATGATTGATGCAGTGAGATCGGATTATGGCTCAATGCCAAATCTAGGCTAGGTTGTCTTGCAGAACGCGAATTCCAGCGTGTGAGGCTTGTGTTGCCCTACGACACCAAGTTCCGGAATACCAAGTTCCGAGTTCCGGGACCCGGGACTCGAAACAATTCAGTCAATACTTTCCTTGTTAAACGGCCAACCAAAGTTGAGATTCTTTTGAATAGAGCAGCAGGTGCTCTCTTGACATTGCCTTGTATGGTGGTTAGGTTGTCTTGCAGAACACAAATTCCAGCGTGTGAGGCTTGTGTTGCCCTACGAGACGCCAAGTTCCGACCTCCGAAATTCCAGTCAAGCATACCCAGTTCCGAGTGCCGAGGTCCGGGACTTCCGATCGTGTAGTATTTCATTAAGAAATGGATGATAATACATCTTTGACAGCCAACATCATCCAAGCGTCTCTTATCTGATCCTCACTATCTCCACCCCCTTTAACACTCTAGTCTGGACATCCAGCAATCAGCTTCTGATTTCCCAAGAACAACATCCAGCATGAACGTTTCTTCCTCTTCCACTCCTGATGACATAAACATCTGGCGGACTTGGGCCCTGACTGTCACTTATGCAGCAGGTGAATATACTGCACAGAAATTTAGTGCAGAGAAGACTGGAGGAGACCCAGTGATACCTTCTCCCAACCTAGACACTGAGCTGGTGATGGTGTGCGATCGCTTGGCTGATGTGCTCATCAAGGCATATAAAAATCCCAGTGGGTCTTCCTGTAGATTCAAAAAATTCCTTCATCATTTAAATTCCTTCATGATAGTTCAGATGCAGATGGATATAGCAAGATATAGCAAATTGATCTCCCCAAAGGACACCGGGCATAATGAACAGAGAGAGGCGAAGTTGCTTGAGAGGTGTCCTCCCGGCCATGAAGGCCCAATGTTGGTCGACATGCCCGCCACAATTCTTGATTCATCCGGTGCCATCATCACATGGTACCTCCCAGATGCCCTGACAGACGACACCCAGGTGTGTAATATACATTTTTATTCAATGGAAATTGAATATGACATGGAACCTGCAGAAGGAAATTAGGGCAGCCACCGATTTGCTTGCTCCTACCCTCGAAAAAAGTGTAAAGGCCAATGGCAATTGGCGGACTAATCAAGAGCAGTTCAAACAGGGATCGGAAAATGTTGGCTCAACTCCCGGATGCATAAATATATCTCTGGCATGGTATCAACAGGGACACGAGGTGGGATCTGACAAGATGGGGATTTCGGCAGTCAAACTCACCAATCCCATAGCATCTGTCCGATCCGGACGTATCAGCATCGTTGAAGGGACCTTCCTCCGAGAATATCCTCAAAGCCATTGCAAGGCCAGCAGCCATCACGTCCGTGGCACTCAGGGTGATGCATCCTGAGCAGTACTTTGCAGGGTTGCGAACCTTTTCCAACCTCGGAGAAAAGGCTGTCACCAAGGATCTGCCACAGATGCCAGAGACCCTGCAGTACTGGGCATCCGTGTTTAACACCCTCTCCATCATTTCCAATCGGGAAACCCCTGATCATCGAGATCATTTATCCATTCCTGAATGCTTCGACATTCTCACCACCGTGGGGAACTATTCTTATGGTTGGATGAGAATGCCAAGCCTTCAGCTGGTGCTCAAGTACAATTCTGGGTGTATGATGGCATTTTCTGGAAGGATTGTAAGATGTGGAGTTGATCATGTGGAAGGGGATCGGATTGCTTGGGCATGGTATATGAGGGATTCCGTTCACATCTATGCTGGGGTTCCCTCGTGTGGATGGGCTAGTGTGAATAGCCCATATGCCCTGTGAAAGATGAATGAAATCGAACAAGTGGTTACCCACGTAAATTCAAACACACACATACTTGTATCAATTAAAGCATCAACCTGTCTGGAACTCAGAATGCCAATATTTGGTGCTCAATCAAGTGTCAAATAATGTCCCCTGAGTGCCAGGATACCGAGTCCCGAAACATGGCACTCGGCACTCGAGGTGTGAGACTGATTTGACTGAACCCCAAACCAGTTCCGGATGCCGGGATTCGGGGTTCGGGGTCCAGGACTCGTGACTCGGCACGTGATAGTGAGTTCCGGATGTCAAGATGTGAAACACGAAACACGAAAGTGATGGCTCATATGTCATATTTTCAATCACCCTGATACCCCGACACAGGACACAAACCACCGAGACCCAGGTGCCGAGCTCCGAGTCCCGGTTCCCGAGTTCCGGATGCCGGGTTTCGGAGTTCGGAGCTCGGCACCTGGGTCTCGGTGGTTTGTGTCCTGTGTCGTGGTATCAGGGTGATTGAAAATATGACATATGAGCCATCACTTTCGTGTTTCGTGTTTCACATCTTGACATCCAGAACTCACTATCAAGTGCCGAGTCACAAGTCCCGAACCCCGAACCCCGAATCCCGGCATCCGGAACTCGGGATCTGGGACTCGGAGCTCAGCACAATCTGTGAGGGTCGATAATATTCTACATCTTGCATAAACTGAAGACTACTCCATTCTGAGTGAATGGGATTACACTCCTTTGGCTCTCTTCAATCTCTCTAGCATCCCAGTGTACATCTCCACCTCTCCCATCTTGGCTTGGATACCATCATCTTGCTCCTCCATCAATGCTACCATGCGTTCTCGAATCCACCTGAGTCCCACCAGTGGTGGAAACGAAGTGTCCTTCACAATCTCAGGAAGAATTATACCATCATCCTCAACACCATACTAGAACAGATAAGTCATCAATCAAGGCAATTAAAATTGAATCTTACCACCCAACACTGGTAGTGTTTGATACAGCAGGCTATGACCAAATCCCACTGCCATGGTTCATCCGGGATTCTGGCATTTCCCATCCACCATGGACATACATAATCCTGCACGATCCTGGATGGATGTCCCGGAACTGATTCATCATCAAACGCAAGTAGGTGGGATGAAAAAATGTCGTCCGGAACCGTGTTCCAGGTTAGCATTGGATACAACTTAAGGATATATGCGACCGGGACCGGCACAACCGACAGAATGTTCTTTGAAGCGGAGTACTGCAGGACTGGTGTAACAAACGTCTGTTCAAGTGATTACCATTCACCAACAAAATCATCCGGTCAGCACCAACTTACATTCATTTCCCACTTCAGCCCGGTGAAGGTGAGGAATCTTGACTATAGGTGAAACGCTAAAGCTAATGGGGGTTCTACAGTAAGACCAGGATACGAGAATACGACTCGACCCAAAGGACAGCTACTGAGAGAAGTTCCTCTTTAATGTAATGGAGGGAGTCTTCGCCAACTAGACGGGTGGTAACAGGCGCGCGAAAGCGCGAGAAGATAACGCGCGCGTAGGCGCGAGTAAGCAAATGCGAAGGCGCGCGAAGGGCGCGCACGAGCGAAAGATGCGAGGGGCGCGCGCGTATACGGAAGCGTGCTTTTGAGCGATGGGGGAGAGTGTTCAAGTATAACAGATGCGCGAGCGATGGTAGAGTAGTGAAGTATAATCGGATTTCAAGTACTAAGGTGCACTTATACAATTTGCAGTATACTCAGATAAGGGAGAAGGGAAGGAAGTAAGTTAAAGGAACTTTCCCTCTATTTAAGAAGGGAGATTACGCTATGCGGCGCGCTTCCGAGCGTGGTACCGAACCGAGTAACCATATCAACTCTAAATATATTCTAAAGCCTATGATAGACTTTCTGTATGTAAGCGCGGAGATCGGACCGAAGGTACGTCAATTCAGTGAAAGGGATAAGAATAACGCACCAGTAAATCAGCGAGGACATAGGACGGACGGACGGACAAGGGTATGAAGGCCTAAGGGGAGGCGCACGAGCGCGCGCGAAAGGCGCGAGTGCGTGTAAGGCGCGTACGTAGGGCGCGCGCGTGAGAGCGCGTATGACTGATCCTTCGGATAAGAGCTGGAACATGTAGGGAATTATGTGGGTAATAGGGCCGTATATTCGCATTGAGAGGCGCGAGTCTCTACACCGGCCTTGAAATACATGATCTTGTCAGCAGATGGAACATTGCTAACAGCTTCCCTCTGATATTGAGCGATGCATGCGCGGACGCGCGATCCAGCCATTGCAAAATTGCAGGAAATAGTTGGAAGGTCCAGCTCCAGGGGTTGGTAATGATTTCCGGGATTTGGAGTGCCAGATGATGATGCAGGAGATTCAGGCATGGCAAACACAGCTGTGTGATGCAGGCAAGGCAAGTGAAAGATGGTCAAGATGTGAAGATAAGAGTCACTGATGGATGGATAAGAAATTCAAACTCCGACCCTGACAATTCCCGGGCGTCAATTATGTGTGTGCAAACCAATGATTCATGAGGTAAAACATATTCATTCATCCCCAGCCTCTGTTAACACGTTCCGGAGGTCTTGAAATGCTGCCTGCGCATCCTGTCCCAGCAATGAATACATTTGAGATTGCCTTCCGGAGTAGCATGCATGACCCGGAAGGCGTTTCTCCAATGATTCCTGCATCCGGTCGCCCCATTGGGCTGCTTTCCACAAAAAAAAGTTACATGTCCAATCCATTTCCAATTGGACCAATATCATTTCTTCCTCCCATCGATCCCGTAATGCCTTCGCCCTCAGCCAATGCACTCAGTAAACTTGGGATGGGTCCAGTCAGGTAATCGCAGGACAGGACAAGCAGGGCACTCACATTCCTCATTCCACGATTGATCTGGACCACCGAGGTCGACTTCGACAGACCAAAACCAAGCGAGGGATTCATTCCGTTGACCTCGGGCATTCGGATCGCCCACCGCAGTGCTGATTTTGAGTTGCTCGCGAAGCAGGGGTTTGTATTTCTGAAGCTGGTCTTGCCCCGGCTCAAGTTTGATCATTTGCTTCCTGGTCTTTGTATATATACTGGCATGGAGGGACACTGCCTGCTGCACCGACGTCACCTGGGACCAAGCTCGAGTTTTCAAGGCTTGGGATTTGGCCTGCCTAACAGTAGTTTGGAACAAGATGGCCTTGTTGCACAAATGAATTCGGAGATTGTGAAGGGCATCATTGGCCTGTCCTTCACGAAGCGACATCTCCAGTGGAATCAGGTCCTCAGCCATGCAACGTCTGCATCGATCAACCCCAAGGTTGGATGGCAATGGGATTACAGTGAGCTCAGGAGAATTTGCCCATGTATCAGATGTCTCGGTGAAATCCACTGGGTCATCATCGAGATCATCGAGAATGTCTATATTCAAGTCATCAGGGTCATCATCTGCATCAAACCCCTCCCCGAGATGCGTAAGAGCAGATTGAGTGAAGCCATCTATCTGTCCTTGGAGACGATCTTGTTGCTGGGCGATGTCTAATCTCTGTGTCTCCGTTGATCTTCTTCCAATTCTTCGGACCTCGATGAGCAATGCAATCTGAGCCTCCTCAATTGCCAACCCAGTGGATATCCATGTAGCCACAGATCTGCGAGAGGGTGCTGCATTGCGGGCGTTGCCCTCCTCTAATAATCTAAGCTCGATCTCCTTTTTGCTCGGTGCTGAGTTCAATGTTAACTCGGACCTCGACAGAGACAATCGAACTCCACACACCCTTCTTGATATTGATCTCATATTCATCCATCGCCGCAGGATCGTCTAATCTACTCGACTGAGCTGTCCTCTCCCTGGCTAACCACTCCGTTTTTAAATGTGCCGGTGCTGCTTCATCCAGTCTGTCAAATGCCTTTCCACTATCGACGATGCCATTCCTCGCCAGCTTGTATTTACGGCAAAGAGTTCGTTTCATGCAGATCATCTTGCAGAAATTCGAGTCGTTCATCTGATAATCAAGGCATTCTTTTTGGTGCGGAGATGACATTCCCCGAGCCGCAGGGGAAATCAGGTTGAGACGTGCCCACAGTGTCTCCATGATCTCTCCATCGATCCGGCCGATGCCCTCGATAAAGTTGGAAGCGTACCGGACATAGCAGCTGTCCTGATGTCCGTGAACATGCCACAACCCGATTCCGGGAATGATTGTCAGTCCCGGTGACATTTCGAGAAATCGGCTCCGATCCACCCGAACCCGGAAGTGTTTGTTGTACTGACAGTTGATATCATAGAAGGTGACGGCCCTGGTGATTCCTTCCATGTTGTGCTGGGAAGCCTCGCACAGGGCGTAGTCCATGTTCATTTGTCTGCAAGTGATGCATGGTTAACTCGTGCACGAGGAATCACATACGTTGCTTGCCTTTCGCCTTTCTGAAAATCAACCATGGAGTGAGGGACAAAGCAACCGTGTCGGGCACATGCAACCCCCCCGATCCCGGTGGACTCTAGCTTGTGTCGAGCAGCATTAGCTTGATTGACCGCCTGGTGGTTGTTGCAGCTCGATTTCTCCACCGTGTCAGCAGCCTCCGCTAGATGCATTTTATACCTGTCCTTTCCCACCATGAATCCCAGCCCATCTGATAGCCAAACTTCATCGAATGGCTTTATGGGATGCAGATGTTCGGCTTTGAAATTTCCATCCATCACAAATGACCGGGTGTATTTCCAGCTTGGAGGGTTCATATTATTTCCGAGGTCCCAGTGGCATGGAACAAGACTCACTCATCCAACGACTCATCCCCTGACAACAGCACATTAATGCCGGGCTGAGGACATGCCGGGCAAAATAATGCGAGCTCCCCTGTGCTCGGGTCTTCAGAACGATGGCCAAAGCCATGCCATTTCATTGTCTTCAACTGCCTCCACTGTCGAGCGACCCTCATGAGCTCTCGGTATCGGTCCTTGCCAAATGCTTTGTCAATATCATGTCCAGTAGATGATGGTGGTAACGCATTACCGGAACAAGGTGAGGAAACATGCTGGAGGTCATTCGCCGGAGCTTGCTGTAATAGTTCATCGCCGAGGTGCCACATTCAAGGTTGTCCAATAGAAAATCATCCAGCACTCTGAAGGTGAACACGGTCTTCGGCCTGTTAAAGAATGCAGGGAAAAATCCATGTCGAAACATTTGAATGTCCGGACTCGTAGCATTTGGGCAATCACAGCATCGAACCTCCAGGCAATGAACACCGGACTTGTCGATGATGACCATGGTGTTTTCCTTGGGCTGGAACTCGGGTCCAGACACAAATGGCAGATCTTCAGGCTCAAGCTGGTCTTCTGGTTCATCTTCTTCAAACAAATTCCACCTATCTGCGAGCGCTGGACATTGGTTGCCATCATGGCCAAGGTGAATGATGAGTCCGACATGAGCCAGGCAACTCCGCTCGAAGAATCGTCCATTCCATTGACTGATCCAGTGAAATGGATTGCTACGATGTTGACTCCTGCAACAGCCCGTGCAATAGAGTGGCTCGCCAAGACAATCTTGACATTTGTAGACCCCATCCTGGTCGCAGATGAAGCATCTCCTGTCTTCTGGTGGAGCCTCTTAATCCAGGAGGTGATGTAGATATGATTCCTGTCTCGGCAGCCATTGCCTGAGGTAATCATTTTGACTCTGTAAGTTTTCATGCTCAACCATGGTTTGAACACCAAAACATATAACATGAACTTGCCATGGTTTGTGGCAGTTGCAAAGGCTCAAATGAGCCCAGGTCTTGCTCATAGGCATTGTCAGGAAAGTCCTCCCAAGGAGTTGGTTCCTGGAGTGGTTGAATTGTGGGTGATTCTGGGGGAGAGTTAGGCATAGACCTGTGTGCATGACGTCTTGTGCTGGCAAGTGGGACCTTGACCCAAGTCTTCCTACCTTTGCTGCCCCTGGCTTCTACCCTGTGGGATTTTTGCACTGGGGTGCATCTACCTATTTTCATCTTATTTACTACTGTTGCAATCAAGGCATAAGCTCGGGTGTAATGAATTGTTATTGCGACATGATGCTGTGAGGTCTTGTTGGCTCATTACAAATTAATTTCCATTAATGGCTTCACATCCGATATAGGTCAATTAACCTATTATTAGTCTTTGCTCAAAGTTCAACTTCGCACAATTAATTAATACTTCAACCTTGGCTTATCCCCAGCCCATCCTCCAATCTTATTCACTATGGCAAGAACAGGCCCTTCCACCAACTCGACTTCGGGAAGACAAAGGGCACGCCAGCCACAGTCGCATAAGCTCACGGACAACGAAATTTCAGAGTTGAAGAACTACCTTCCTGAGTGGACTTCGGCAAAAAGGAGCGAGAAGCGAGGAGTTTTCGCTGCCTTAGCAAGGGCAGCCAGATTGTTTGCTCCTAAGGTGGACCAAAAACAATGGAAGAAGAGAAAGCAGGTGATGTGTCAATGTTGTGTTGAAAAACTAAATTTTAACATCGTATACTTCCATGAACTCTTAGATGTACAAGACTTGGTTGTTCAACAACAAGAAAAAGAAGGAAAGGAAGGACATGATCAAGTATGGGAGGAAATGGACGCCCAGGATGGTGGTCTACCAGCAGAAACGTGAAGAGGTGCTGAAGAGGATTGAGGATGAGTCCGGGGCGAAGCCAGGAGATCCTGGTATGTTCAAGCATTATCAGGCGACCGTGAAGAGAGTCATGGCTGAATTGGACGACGACGAGTTGGAGAAGGCGAAGGAAACCGCGAAAGAGTGGTCCAACAACTGTCCGCCTCCGGAGATACAAGCACAAGTTGCTCGCAAGAAGAGACCGGCGTATATGGAGCACTTTTCAAGCGAGATGTGGAGGCAATGCGGGATGAGAGTGTTTGTGATGTCAGCTTGGAAGAATGACAAGGGAGAGGTGCTGTTCGGGATGCAAGTGAATTTTACCCATCTTCCCGGATCTTTGATCTCAACGCAATCATGCAGGCACAATGATAATGAGGCATTAGGAGATGGGGACAGCTTCATGAAGACGAAGGACTGGGAGAACATCAAGCCAGTTTGGCAGGAGTATGCGCAGGAACAGTTCGGTGAGTGTTTGAACTGTGTATACCGGATGTCAAGTGTTGACCCACACCATGATAGGTGCCGGGGCATGGGATGTAGGAAGACAAGTCAAGGGAGGTCGCAAAAGAATCCGAAAGCCAGCTTTCGAACTCGACACGGACGATGATGGGAAGCCATTGCTTCCGGACATCACGGACACGAAGCTGGAGGAGAAGAAAGCCATTGTGAGGGCATTTCTCACATCTCACTATCGTAAGTCTGTCTTCACAACATCTGAGAATCTGTTGAATTCATGGATCCAGGGATATGTTCGGGGAAGGACAAGGCTGTTGTGCCATGGAGTGCCATAGTTCAAAGTCAGGATGACTTCGTGGCCCAAAAGTATCTTCCGGTGGATGTTGACTTGAAGGAGCCTTCGAAGCTGCAAAATTGGGACACCACAGCCTTGCTCAATTTCTGGCATGCCCGGCAGGAAAACGACGAAGGTCCCGCATTTCTATTCAAAGCATGGAAGAACAAAGATGGGGACATGGTACCATCTGTCTTATCCAGCAAGTCGCCCTCTCCTCAGACCCGTGTAGTGAGAAAGCAGCATCGGGTCACAATCCGAAGGCCTCGTGATTCGTCAACTGAACTGTCGAGTGATGGCGAGGGAATAGCTCATCCTACGGAGGATGATGTGGATGATGACTCGGCTGATGGGAGATCCCCGCAAAAGAAACCCAGATATTCCTGGGGTCCAGCCACCAAAGGGACGGAGGTCCGAATGTCAATTCCAAAGCCTCGCAAGGCCAAGCCAGCCACATCAGGTGCACTCCTGACATCTCAAATGGGCGATCTCCTGGCCGGGTTAACTGCTGAAACCACAGGAGATGGTACGGAGGAGGTGGAGATGGAGATGGACAGGGGGAAGACATCGCCTGCACCAAAGAGGAAGCGGGGCAAGAAAGCCGTGGTGGAACCATCAGCGAGGACCACGCGGAGTAAGTCGCAAATGCCAGTCGACAGTACACCTAGAGTGACCAGAGCACGGGGACGTAGGTAATGTACATATACCATAGTGCCCCATGTGTAGTTTACATTCACACATGCCGACAACCGAGTACCGAGTACCGAGTCTGGGGTCTGAGTTCCAAGTACCGAGTCCCGAGTCCGGAGTTCGGAGTCCGGAATATGGAGTATGAAGTTCTGAGTCACTAGTCCCCAGGCCGGAATCACCATCATCCGAGTACTGAGTACTGAGTGGATTATACAGTAATTCATGTCCAATCTGAGATTGACTACTATTTACATATGACTGGGATCCTCACAAGAGGCAATGAGGGTATCCAACACCTGCAGCATTTCAGCAGTTGCCTGTCTTACCCTTTGCATCCTCCGGAGGTCCGCATCTGCTTTGCGGAGTTTGTCGCATGTTTCTGCCCAAGCCATACGAAAAGGTCTGTCAGCCTCAAGGAGCTGTGCTACAGTAGGGTGAGGAAGAGGTCCATGATGGTGTTTGTATTCATGCATGTGATCTCCAATTGATTGAACTGGCATGGCATTAGCAGAAAAATGCAAATACAACAATCGGATACTGACTTTCGGAATCATCATAGCAGCCAATTGGCTTAAACTCATGAAGCATAGCACGGAGCTCTTCATTGGTGAGTGGTGGCTCGGGCGATTGACGTTCAGGAGTCGTTGAACTTGCTTGGGGATAACATGAATAAGAGCCATGACATGGGATGAATAAACGCACAATTCAAGAGGGGCGCTGGAGCAGCCGGAGTGGCTGATTGAGGGTCCGGAGTTAATTCATTCACTGCGAAAAATGCCATGAAACATTTGCAAGAGACAGGATGAATTTACTCACCAGTCAGTGGTGAATCTGGAACAGCCGGAGGATCATCAAACTCAATCAAATCATCCTCGGGCCTGAGATACAAGTCCGGGTCATTGAATAAAGGAATATCATCAGCCTCAGCCGGACGTGATTGATCTGGAATTAATTCAAGAACTCTCATGGTAAGAATATGTGCATTTCAATTAAGATACATACCGGGAATGTCATCCTCGGGCCCGAGATACAAGTCCGGGTCGTTGAAGAGAGGGAGATCATCAGCCTGCGGCAGATATGATTGAGCTGGAAGTAATTGATGAATGTGCAAAATTAGAGTGTGCATGTGAATTGAGATACACACCGGGAATTTCACCCAAGCCATCCGGACCAGTTGTTGACCCAGCATCAGAGTCCAAGTCCTCATCCAGCCCCAGGTAGATATCATCCAATGCATCTATGAAATATCCAGTCAATTAAATGAAATAACACAAACAAAACATACCTAGGGACATCCGGGACTCAGATGATTGATCAACATCCATTGAGGTGTACTGAGTGACCGGAGGATCATGAAATCTGACACCAGGTTGAGAGCTCATGATGTGTGATGAACTGATGGGCTGATTGATAACTGATAACCAGGAAGTTCAACACATGGCCGGTGCCTGCCGAAAGTTGAACCACGACCAAACAAAGACAAACAATCAGCGATTTTCATCAACGTCCTTCAATTGTGTGATTTCTGTTGAAACCTCATCCCAGTGATAACAGATTTCACCCAGCTTTCAAGCTTTTTACTTGTTTCATCTCAAACAGAATGTCTGCTCCAGTTCAATCCTCTTTGGCCGGTCTCCAGGCCTCCACTGCTCAACTTGTGGGCATCATCACCCGGGCTCGGCTCACTCCGGCTGGCACAGGGGAAGCCCATCTTGCTCTGACAGCACAGGCAACCACCCTTGTGGTATGTAGCATTTCTTTCCTTATCTTGCCATTTGTTTCACTGACATCCGGGTAGGGCGCGATCGCCTGGCAGTTTGAGAAGGGGCCTTACATGCCCGGAGTTGTGGCATCTTGCTCCAGGGAGTTGATGAGGGTGAGGTCCATGACTCCCTGGGTGTGGCCTAACTGGCACAGCATCGGCCATGACGACCCCCGCATATCAAAACACTCCTGGCGCAGCAAGATCCAGGCTTGGGACGCCTTGGATGACCATTCCTGTGATCTCCCGGTCGTCCCTAACCCATCCACCACCCCACTGACTGTTGACCTTCCTTCTCCTCTTCCCATTCCGTCTGCTCCTGTCCATCCCTCTCCTCCTGTCATTCCCTCTGCTCCTGTCCCTCCATTCCCGCCCGGCCTCGCCGGACCTTCAACTCTGGCACCCTCCGGGTTCCAGGACAAAGGCAAGGGTAAGGCGGTTGATGTGAGCCTTGAGCCAGAAGTTGGAGGGAGCAGAAAGAGGAAGTCTCTGCTGATTTCTGGCGAATCATCCCAACCTCCGAAGTCCGCCATGAAGTCTCACAAGCAGCCCAAGTCTGCTCGCATCATCAAGTCGAAGCCGATTGTGGAGTCGGAAGATGATGAAGACACAATTATTCAGGTATGTCGTCTGGATTATTTTTTACATTCTCTCAATTTTTTGCAGCCACTTTCGCGTGGAGTTCCGGAGGTCGTCCTTCCCCGGATCTCCACACTTGCTCAAGGGACCCCTCACTTGCCTCGTTCACCCCGTTCTCCAAAAAAGAAATCCTTTGGCCCTGCTTCAGTAAGTCCAATTTGTTCATCCGGATCTCACATAAATGCTGATATGTTATCAGTTGACTGCTGGCAGTCGTCTGGAGGTTCCAGTAAGTCATTTGGAGTTGTTTGTCACTCATGCTAATGATTTGTATGCCTGCGATTTTGTATTAGGAATCTCCCAGCACTCGTCCGGAGGTTGCAGTAAGTCTTCTGCGCTCCTCCGGAACTCGCATTTACACTAATAATTTGACAGGCCACCTCCGGCACTCGTCCGGAGGCCACGGAGGACCATGACACTGAGTCCAACGCTTCGGATGGTGATCCCCCAGTCATTGCCTCATTCGACATTACCATTCCTGGCCCAGTGAGTACTCTATATAATTCCTGTTTGTGCAACAACTAACTTGTTTCACAGAACAACCCCTGCCATTATTGTGTCAAGTTCGATTGGCCCTGCGCCACTCGGTTTGACAGGAGGAGGCGTACTCCCTGTGTCTCCTGCATCCACTGCGCCAGCAAGAAGGTGAAGTGTCAACCTGCATCGATGGGATCCCCGCCCCCACGGACTCGCCCTGGAGGCAAATCCACCACCCATCATACGCGTTCCAGCACACCTGCCCCCAAAGCTCCGGCCGCCTCGCAGTCAAGGGCCCGCACTCGCAGCCAATCTCGTGGCCCCATGCGTACTCCGGCTGTCCCTGCTGTGACTACACCACAGGTGAAATCACGTGGTCGCAGCAAAACAATCACTTCCACCAAGGCACCTGTGCCTGCACCTGCTCCTGCAACAGCTCGTAAGTCTCCTGCATTTGTAATGACCAGCTGAACTTAATTTTGCCTTAGCTGTTCCGTCCTCGAGTGTTGCAGTTCCTCGTTCAGCACTCGATGTGCCCATGCCGGATCTCCATTCCATGGCAATCGCCATCCGGGATGGTGCAGCTCGCATTGCCATGCTTGAGGCTCGTGTACGGGAGCAGGATGGTAAGATTGATACCCTGCAACGCCTCCATGAGAGCCTCCGGCGCCAGGTCGTCGACCAGCACCCTTCATTTCCACTTCCGGACATGCCTGCCAATGCATCATTTTTACTCAATCAATCAGTTCCACCCCCCCCATCCATGTCCCCCCTCCCCTCTGCACTTCCTGCCCTCATCAATTTGGATATGGCTCATATGGCTGTCATGGAACCCACCCCCTTGAAAGTCGAGGATGGCTCTGACATGATTGGGCTCGTGTTTGAGCCCAGCCAAGTTCAGCCTGAGGGTCCACAAATGTCTGGTGAAATTGTGGTCCCGGATGACCCGGGCAACCTTGTGCCAGAGTATAATTCTGTTTCTGAAGAGATGGATATTGAGGTGCCTGTTGAGCCAGCTGGTGGGGAGGTTGACATGGCTACCTAATTGCTTAGTGATAGATGTACATAAATGTTTTGCAATGCATGTTACCTATGGCAGAATTGAATCATTGAATCACCGAAACCCGAAACACGGCACTCGAAACTGGGTGATCACAGTTGATATCACCCGACCTCCGGACACCCGGACACCCGAAGCCCGAAACTCAAACACCATTGTCAAATTTCACCAAGTCCCAAGGCCCGAGTTCCGGGTTCCGGGACTCGGGGTTCGGGGTTCAGGACTTGGTGAAATTTGACAATGGTGTTTGAGTTTCGGGCTTCGGGTGTCCGGGTGTCTGGAGGTCGGGTGATATCAACTGTGATCACCCAGTTTCGAGTGCCGTGTTTCGGGTTTCGGTGATTCAATGATTCCATTGTAGCACCCGGCACTCGGGACTCGGTGTTCTGCACTGACATTTGACCAATATTTTTGTGAGTTTTGGGCTTCAGGTTGTTGGGTGTGTGACACATAGGATATGCTTCACAATGGCTTTGGGACTTATGAAATGTATCTAAACCCACCTGTATATGTACCCCTCTATGTATTATATATATCACCACACCCTCGGCCCACCGTGTATGTCATATTCCACCACCCCGGCCCACCCATATATGTAATATTCCACCACCCCGGCCCACCCATATATGTAATATTCCCCCACGTCGGCCCACCCATCTATGTGATAGATATTGTACCACACCCTCGGCCCACCCGTATATGTGACATTTCCTTACCTCGGCCCACCCGTCCATGTAATACACCCTATGTCGGCCCACCCATCTATGTGATAAATATTTTACCACACCCTCGGCCCACCGGTATATGTGACATTTCCTTGCCTCAGCCCACCCATATATACAATACACCCTTTGTCGGCCCACCTGTCTATGCGATAAATATTTTACCACACCCTCGGCCCACCCGTATATGTGACATTTCCTTACTTCGGCCCACCCATCTATGTAATACACCTTACGTCGGCCCACCCGTATATGTAATACACCCTACTCTACATATTGCCCAGATGGGCCCACCCATCTCCATTTGTGATAATATCCCCCCCGGCCCATCTGTGAACATCAATGAAATATATATCATTGCCATGCATGGGCCCACCCATCTCCAACGGAAATAATATGCCCTCCGGCCCACCCGTCATCATCGAGGATGTACACAACATGGGCCCATGGTCCGCTGGCCCGTCTTGTACGGGATATTATGCAGGTCGGGTGGCCCGTATAATACGGAATTTGTCACTGAAGGGGCTCAGATTATGGAAAGAAGAATTTCTGGAAGACGCTCAATTCATTGACTCCTCCGGACAAAAGAAAGGATATGGTACCATGAAAGATTTCTTAGAAGCTTTCAATAAAGCATTCTCCGCAATCGATCCTTCCGGAACAGCAATGACCAAGCTAGGAGCTCTCAAACAAACCAGAGATCTCCAGACTTATATCGCCAATTATCAGAGGCTAATCGCTCAAGCAAAAGTCAAAGAAGAAACCGCCAAAATCTTTCACTTCCAGCAAGGACTCAATATAGGAATCCTTATCAAAATGTTCAATGCTGGAAACGTCCCAAAGAACTTCGATGACTACATCGCTGCAGTAGTCGACATCGATAACTGCCACACACAGTTACAATCCATTAGATCCCGCTTCCCTATACAACAGAAGAAGAAAAGATTTGGGGATCAAAGATTTGTACCCACAAGGGATCGCGATGCTATGGTGATTGATCGACTCACGGATGAAAGTCGCCAAGAACACATGCGTGTGGGAAAGTGCTTCACTTGCCACCAGATCGGACACCGTGCTCGGGAATGTCCGCAGAAGAAAAAGGGACCTCCCTTTGTCCACAAAGTAGAAGAAGAGGAAGAAGAAACTAGGCGCATTCAAGAGGATTTTTGAAACGGAGAAACATATCAACGGTGGAATCTCCAATAGAACCTGTACGTTTGATACGAGCTGTCAATGATAAAAAAGAACTTTGCATTCCCATTACTCTCATATCTCAAAAACAGGAAAATGTCGAAACAAGCGCGGTAATCGATTCTGGCGCTTCTGGAACCTATATCTCCGAAAGCTTTGTGAAAAAGCTCGGGATAAGAACCCGAAAACTGAAAAAACCATTCAATATCCGAACCGCAGATGGAAGCTATTTCAGCAGCGGACCAGTAAATCGGTACTGCACCCTTATCATCAAAATTGATGAACGAACCATGATAGGAAAATTCAACATTACCAATTTAGGAGCACGAGACTAAATTCTCTTGGGAATTCTGTGGCTCCAAAAGATGAATCCCTCTATCGACTGGGCAGAACGAACTCTCTCACTTCCTTGTACCCCAAAGTCTATCGAAATCTCGGAAAGAATTCGAAAACTTAGCACCCCCCCCCGAACAAAGAAAGTGGACAAATTCCAAACTAAAGAAACAACCATCCAAATTCTCTGCTTCCATTGAGGAAATCCCCGAAGATGTACCGCTGTTGCTACCAACGGAGGATGACGATCTTTTTGACACTCAGGAAGATGTTTGGTGCGCTCCACCGGTACAAGACGTCTCTACCTATAAGCTAGATGACGGGGAATTCCTGGTTGAATACGGTGCTGATGGAGAATTCGTTCGAATTATACAAGAGATTTCGCTCGACACTCCTCTCACAAAGGATGGAACATCCTTTTCGGAACAAATTCCAATCATCACCCCTCTTAAAGTTAGCAACAAGGCGCAAGAGTTTGCAACGGAAGAAAAGGAAAAACAGAAGAAACCTTTCGAAGAACTCGTGCCCGCTTATCTCCATGAGTATGCGGATGTATTTGCCAAAGATGGACTAAAACAACTCCCCCCGGAACGACCAGGAATAGACCACCACATAGAAACAAAACCTGGGTTCCTTCCAAGGATGTCTAAAGTATACCCTCTCTCACCAAAAGAAAGGCTTGCGGTAAAGAAATTTATTGACGAAAATTTGGAAAAGGGTTTTATCACTCCGTCGAAATCCCCACAAGCCAGTGGGTTCTTTTTTGTAGGAAAGAAAAGTGGAGAGCTTCGTCCCTGTCAAGATTATCGAGGCATTAATGATTAAACGATAAAGAACTCTTATCCCCTTCCACTTCCGGCAACTCTTATCGAACGACTACACGGGGCAAACTTCTTCACGAAAATGGATATTAGATCAGGATATAACAACATCTGTATCCACCCGGATGATCGATGGAAAGCCACATTTACCACGGAGCACGGATTATTTGAACCAAGTGTAATGTTCTTTGGGCTATGCAACTCACCTGCCACCTTTCAAGCATTTATGGATAATGAATTCCGTCAGGAAATCAACAAAGGATGGCTGGTAATATACATGGACGACATCCTTATCTTTTCAAAGACACTTGAAGAACATCACGAACGAACAAGGCGGATCTTAACAAAGATTAGAGCGGAAAAGCTATTTCTGAAACCAGAAAAGTGCACGTTCGACTCTCAAGAAGTCGAATTTCTTGGCATGATCATTAAACCAGGATCCATAGAAATGGACAAAGCAAAAACCAATGGCATCAAAGAATGGCCCGTTCCTACTTCTGTTAAAGAAGTTCGGTCATTTTTAGGATTCTGCAATTTCTACCGATCATTTGTCACTCACTACTCGGACATCGCTCGTCCCCTTATCGATCTGACCAAGAAGGATACCATTTTCTCTTGGAACGCTCAACATCAGGAAACGTTCAACCAGTTGAAAACCCGTTTTACCACCCATCCTGTACTCCGCAACCCAGACCCCTTAAAACAATTCGCTATTGCCACAGACACTTCTTTAGTGGCAACAGGAGGAGTTCTATTACAAACTGACGAAAACGGTGTCTATCACCCCTGCGCCTATCTATCGCAATCATTCAATCCAGCCGAACGAAATTATCCAATTTTTGACCGAGAACTCCTTGCCATAATTCGTGCGCTAACCGAATGGCGACATTATCTTGAAGGACACCCCTCCCTGATTATAGTTTTCACAGATCACATGAACTTGCTCTACTTTAAGAAAGCTGAACACTTATCTCGTTGACAAGCACGATGGCAGATGCTTCTGACTGACTTTGATCTGGAGCTACATCACATTCCTGGTTCTAAATTAGCTGTACCTGACGCCCTCTCTCGGCGATCAGACCATGATACCGGATCCTCCGATAACGATAACACCATCCTACTTCCCGATTCCATGTTTGTCCGACTCATTGATGACGACCTTCGCGCTACCCTTGCCAGCTCAGATGCACTTAACGACCCACTATTCGCCACTGCCATAGACGCCCTCAATGGTGTCTGTCTTCCCCCCATGAAATCCGCTTTAAGTGATTGGAAAGTAGATTCAGGGATATTGTCCTACAAGAACCGAGCGTATATTGCTCCTGATCATCGCAAAACTATGCTGGCTCGATACCATGACCATCCAACCGCTGGTCATCCCGGACGTTTTAAAACCGAGGAATTGGTCAAACGCGAAGCATGGTGGCCAGGTATGGGAGCCTTCATCCGGAAATACGTTGAAGGATGTGCCACCTGCCAGCAAATGAAGGCCGATACACATCCCGTTACGCCACCTCTCATCCCCATTTCCTCCCTTGCCACCCGCCCCTTTTCACAGATCTCTGTCGATCTTATCACGGATCTTCCCATTTCCTCTGGTTTTGATTCCGTCATGGTTGTGGTAGACCATGGGCTTAGTAAGGGGGTGATAATTACTCCTTGCCATAAAAATATTACCTCTGAAGGGGTAGCCAAACTATTCCTGAAACACATATTCAAACGCTTCGGATTACACGACAAAGTAATCTCTGACCGAGGACCCCAATTTCTCTCAAAATTCTCCATGGAATTAGCTCGACTCCTTGATTATTCTATCGCCCCTTCCACCGCCTTTCATCCGCAAACTGATGGACAGACTGAACGACTCAATCAAGAACTAGAAACATACCTACGGATCTATTGCAGCAACGACCCAACT